TCTCTGAGCTAGAGCCCAAGTCAAGTCTCAAGTCTCTGAGCAAGAGTCCAAGTCAAGTCTCTGAGCTAGAGTCCAAGTTAAGTCTCAAGTCTCTGAGCAAGAGTCCAAGTCAAGTCTCTGAGCAAGAGTCCAAGTCAAGTCTCTGAGCAAGAGTCCAAGTTAAGTCTCAAGTCTCTGAGCAAGAGTCCAAGTCAAGTCTCTGAGCTAGAGTCCAAGTCAAGTCTCAAGTCTCTGAGCAAGAGTCCAAGTCAAGTCTCTGAGCAGACCTCCCATATGTCGTAGCTAAAGCAAGAAGCAAGCTAACGTTAGATGGCCAATGCTGAGCTAAACATTACTAACCTCAGGTTACTAACCTGTTTTTGCGTTCAGCGATTCTTTGTTTGGATCTTGTTGTATGAAGTTTTAAAGCCAAAGTTTATGGCACAGCAGCTGCTGGTGTTGTCCTCTCCGCGTGCAGCTGATACTATGTGTTACGTAGGCAGGTTATAAGTAACGCAGGGAGGGGAAACAGCAAGCCCATCAGATGTTTCCTAAAAATAAACATTGTTCATGAGTCCAGTAACGCGAGTCCGAGTCGAGTCTGAAGTCTTTTGAGGACGAGTCTCAAGTCAAGTCTGAAGTCACTGTGTGTGCGACTTAAGTCGGACTCGAATCTGAGTCTCAAACTCGAGTCCCCATCTCTGCTGTAAACACACAGCTGGCTCTGATGACAGAACAAGTAAGGGATAATTTAAAGTGAATTTTTGCATCATTGCAAAACCTGGCTTTAAAACAGCATTATTTAATTCACCTTGGCCACTTGGGCAAAGCCGAACAAACTTTTGACGGTCATACAGTTCATATGGCGAAGGTGTTTAACCCATCCTGCTGCTCCACTAGCGAGTCGCTAGCTATGTCTGTTGTTTGGTGCTAAGCAGGTAGCGTATAGTGGGTTTTATCAGAGATTCTTTTACCGACAGCTAGCTGCTGCTGTTAGAAATGCAGTTTGTCAGAGTGAACCTAAACAGTAAAGTTGCAGGCTATAAAATCAATCATTAGCTAAAGGAAACAAAAATGCTGGGCAGAGCTGAGAGGAACTGCATTCAGGTGATCACTGTGTGAATTTGTCGCTATGCTATGAGCCACCCCTCCACATTACACACACAGCCATTTGACCCATTGTTCATATAAAAATATATAATAGTGCAACTTTCAAGAATTAGTTTGACATTTTTGGAAAGAACACTGTCTTTCTTGCTCGAGTTAGATAAGAATATCAATTAAAAAAATCTTAATATAGCCTGGCACGTAACCTCTTGTAAAATGGTGAATTGTGGGCACACTTTGGTTACAATTAAACAAGTGAGATATATTGTGATAATGAGTGAAATGTAGTTCAGATGGTGGTGAGCAGATTTTCCTACTGTACATTTGGACAGAACCAGGCTAGCTGTTTCCCCCTGCTTCCATGCTAAAAACTCAGCTCACCTAAGCTAGGCTAAACGGCTGCTGCTCTCCAGCTACATATTGACTTGTTTTGTCGTCTAACTTTTGGCAAGAAAGTGTATTCAACAAAACATCAAACTATTCCTTTAAGCATTACAGTTTTAATAAGACAGGGGGATAAGTACAAGTCAAACACAGAAATGCAACAAAGCAAAGCTTTCCACAATGATTTGCACATAAAACATTATCTGGTGCGCTCACATTGACAGAATAACTAATTAGCAAGCAAACTGTATTAACGTGCTTCTTGGTGAATGGTCTCTTGCTAAAAAGCGCACTAAGCCCAGATGTTTAGAAGCTGAACTCCGACTATTAAGCTACTTCTGCTAAGAACTGACATAATGATATACTGTAGTTATATTTACCCTCTGACTCTTAAAACCAACATTCCCATCTGTGACGCAGCACTTCATCACTGTGGTGTCTTCAATCAGAGGAATGTGGCTGTGTGTCCCCATGTGACCCACGCACAGAGCGACAATGTAACAATAATGCAATAACAATAATGTAACAAGGTAATAACAAGAGGAGCTGAATTGTTCCCTGGGCGAGGCAGCGGAGAGGAAATGATCATAACATGGTTTCAGATCCCTCAGGATCTGTTGCAACTGACATGAGAGCATCTGAGAGGGCAATCATCACCGGATACTGTTACTCGTGCCAAACGTTACGCTGCGCTTCAGGCATTTAGTGGACACACACATGCTGGATGTTTGCCTTTAAGTCTTCCCTATAAGTTTTGATGCTTCTTGAAGGTGACATGTATGTCTCCCTGAAAGAAAGAAAAGCTGCTCAGGCTTACGTCGGAGACACTTTCTTTCAAACTCTTCATTGAGGATTCAGTTAAAACCTATCAGGATTCATACACATGTTGACCAATGAATTTCCGTGACATTTGCACGACTTTAAGCCAAATTTTCAATACCAAACAAAGAAAAAGAGCAGTCTTGTGTCTGCACATGATTTGTAAGAATAATGCGAATTAGCTAACTTTAGCGTCCATAGTACCTCCGCAGTTAGTTGGCTACTCCATTCTGTACAGCATCTGTCATTGATGTTGGCTTGGTAACAGAGAACAGAGATTAACTTTTTGCAGCTGGAATCGCTTCTTGAGAAATGTATTAAATCTACATTTCTCAAGAAGTGTGTATTTTCTAGATAGTTAATGACGCAAGTCGGTCACGTTCTATACTGCACATACATTAATATATATTTTATAGGCTAATGACTAATCCATAGATGTCATAAGTGTTTACTGGTATTGGCATTAGTCAGGCATGTGATTGGCATAGGACAAAAAAGCAGTAAAATAAACAACACAAGAGCACATGGCACGGTCCTCTCCCAAGAAAATGGTAATTATTTGATTAAAAACTGCATATCCACATAGTATTAGACTCTCTGGCTAAATCTCCCTCTGTCCACTGGAGGGGCTTGATCCACAACCTGGAGGAGGAACTAATATAAATGAGTGTATTAGTATAATGTTATAACAATAAATAAAAAGTATAATGTTCATTTAATAGTACGCTGTTAGTATAATGTGAAGATATTAATTATATAATATTACTATATTCATCATCATTTCATATAATAATATACTATATAGTTTACCACTAGTATAATATTAATTCCAGCTGGACAATACAGCAATTTCTTTTTGTGTGTTGTTTTCATTCATTAAATCCTTTATGCAAGAAAATGGTCTCTAATGTGTTAATGCTAAGTTCTAACTCGTCAATAATCATAACCATCAATGCAGAACAATGCGTTTAACATTAAAAGTTTGCTGTAGCACATCAGACTTTTTATATTATCCAGCCCCACCAAGGCTGTGATTGGTCTGGTGATGAAAAGTGACACTGAGGGGCACATCAACTTTATATAAAGTTGAACATGTTTCAACAAAATGCATCTGATATAGTTAAATGGCCAGCTAGCCAAACCCTCCTTGTCTTTTCACTATTATCTTCTCTATTATCACTGCTTCAGTTCTGTCGTTGTGTTTTTTAACATTGTAAGGAGCTGCGCAAGTGTACAGAAATGTTAGAGCTCAGTTTAGACCTGCTCTATCTGAGATGTGCAATTAGATATCTTCTGTTATGAATGGGCGCTATATAAAAATAAATAAATAATACATGCTGACTGCTTTTGTTTTAGCTTGTTTGTAACATTTCGCTATTAGCTTAACAGGTTGTAGCAACAAGTACGGACAAGGCAGGTGGAAACATCGCTCTTCCGCTTTTATCCTTCACTTCACTTGCTTCACTGCTGCCGGCTGTGAGCTGAGCTCCGTGGGTCAAACATGCAGAGGACAGAGGAGCTCTGTATAACTTTATATAAAAAGGAAAACTGGACAAACATTTCAACTTCAGGAAAAACACATTATATGTTTTGAAAGAAACGAGAAGGAAAAAGATGTAATTTGTTTTGCATAGTTGGTATTATTATTAAAAATGGACTGACTCCAAACCTTCCCCAAGAACTCCATCAGTAATAGCACCATGATTAAAAACATTAAGAACAAGAAGGCAATCAAGACTAACTATGTTTGACAAATTCCTTTTGGACAATTTGAATCCACTCTACTCCATTTATTTCGTGTGCTATGTCCTTTTTTAAGTTGTTTATTTTTATCTTTGTACCCCTGATTGTTTTGGGTTTATAAATTCAATAAATATTTGAAGAAATTTGTTTTTGTTTTGTTTTTTTATGGACCATGGGTCACATTTTCAGGTTGGAAAAATCACATCACTAATAAGTGTTTTGTGTATATAAGTGTAATAAGTGTGTCTTTTGGTATTTTATTTTTTTCCAAAACTTTTCCAGGCCTGGAAAAATACATTTTCAAATTCGATGATTTTTCCAGGTTTTTCATGACGTACGGACCATGGCTATACAATGTTCAACCCTTGAAATACGTTCCAGTCCAAGGGGATTATTCACAATTTACAGACTTACTCTTCGTATGTTAGGGAATAAACCCCCACCCTGGAGTGTCGTTGCAGTGCGCGTGGTGAATACAGAGCAGAGAATACTGAAATACCACTGTATAATTAATAATACATAAACACATTCAGCATATGCACACCCATTTCCCACCCTTTTTCAAAAGCTATTGTGGAATGTGTGAGGAAAAACAAACCTTTTCATCCATTCGGTAACTGTCCTATCTATTTCGATCTGCGTTGGGGTCAGCACCAATTCAGAAAGCTTTTACACAGCTATCTCTATTTAGCTAAAAGAAAATTGTTTCGGAGGTTCACTTGTCTTTCTGTGCCGACAAAATTGGAACCAATCTGACCCCATCATTTGTTTTGTTGGAAAAGCATTCCACTTTGCTTCCTTTGAGGGGCAAAAACATTGCCCCCGCATTCAGGGACTGAATGATTTATTGAATGTAATGCATTAGAACATAAATAGATACATGATGATGTGTTGGCGGTTTGAACCACAGAGTTACTGCATTTTTTGTTTGAAGTAAAATTGCCTTGAAAGTAGAACACGACATACAATTTCTTGCCTAAAACATTTAATATATTCAGTCAAATGTCCTTTGTCTTGCATATTAAAATATGATGTACATACCACAAACAGCAGTGTGAGTATAACATATGTATGTACCCCAATTAAAAATAAGATACATGCTACGATATACAAGAAAGCGAGTGGCTGCAGAATAAAGCCTTTATACGTTTTACAGTGTGAATGTGTGAAACAGAGCTTTGGTCAGATATTTAAAATGTTCCTCCACACATGCTAAGAAAATGTGGAGTGTTAAGACAACTAGGAGCACATGCGTCCCAATTTTAAGTACTGGGAGCTGTGTTCACATGTTTAAATGAAAAGGCACTTATGAATGACAGGAGCAGAGAGAAGACAGGGAAAAGTAAAAACAAGTGTATCAAAATGTACAATAAATACAGTAAAACATTTTCTTTCGCAAGTGTTGTTCCCCTAAAATCTCCGCTTCATGATTTCAATGCGGGGTGACAAAATCAAAATTATTACAGATTTACCTCTACGACTTAACTAAATATTATTATCTTATTTAGTTCATAGTTGTCTCTAGGACTGTATAGCAATGCCAGATTTACTATTTAACAGTCACCATTTTGTGGCACATAAGCCAAATGTCTCAGGAATGGCAGGAATAAAGGAAAATTAGATTTTGTGTGTGGTACATTATCCAACAGGGACAAAAATGTGATGCATGCATTCAGATAAAATCAGATTCCTACATTAAACAGAAGGAAAAACATATTGTTAAGCTTTAGCATGTAGTCCATGGTATAAAGTGTTCCCTCTTGCTACGCGTGGCGCTCAGTCTACGCTCCTGTACCTGGTGAAGAGGTTGTAGAGGACGCGCAGGGTCGATTTGAGGTCGCAGTTCACTATATCTGGAGAAAAAAAGAGAAATAGAAGAGTTTTTGTGTGTATATATTTATACTTGTCTACATGCATACACACATCCAGCAAGAACTCAGATCTTGTCTGTAGAATAAAGTCCACCACACGAGAGCTTCTGCAGACGGGGTGGCACATTCCTGCCTCTCTACAGCTTAATGGCCTGTATCCACCAGGCAAATCTATCTTTTGTTCAGCAAACAAGGTTCAGTAGACGGCTGCGAGATGCTTTGGTTGTACAATGGTTGTTAAAACATGGTTACTGGCAATCCATTTGAGAGACAACACAATGCAAACATTTTAGCTGTATTAGATAGTGGCCAAACGATACGGGTTTTTCAATGGCCGATGCCAGTATTTACAGAGCAGGGTGGCATAATGTGCCAATATCAAAACAAAGAAAAGTCATGTATAATCAGAGTACAAAAAATAATATACATGGTTATTTTAGCCAGTAACGTGCTGGTTTAGATTTTTATTAATTAATGAAATAGAAAAATACATTGGGTTATGCCACTAGATTTTTAGTAACTGTAGATTTCAGAACGTGATGTTTAATGGAGAGCGAGGTACAGTTTGTCAGAAGTGACGTCATTCAACTGCATTATTCTCTACAGTGTAACAATATGTATTTCACACTATACAGTAGGGCTGGGCGATATGGCTAAAAATGTTATCACAATAAAAACATTTATTATCATTCCATATCGATAATTATCACCATAAATGTCAAATCAGTAATTCTTTCGAGTTTAAAGGCAGATTTTTGCTCCTGAGTGAAAATTTAAGAAACCAGATGGTTAATTGTGTGGTTAAACTTTTCTTTATGCTCAGAATGTGACAAACACTTGGATAGTCCCTTTTCCTCAACAAAATAAATATCTTAATAGAAAAATTAAGTGCTAATTTATTCTTGATTCAGATTAATTAAATCAAATATTTATATATATATATTTCGATATATTGAACATCTGTTATATTGTTATTGAGGAAAATTAAAATAATATTATATTAATTATCATTATTTACTTATTGCCCTTTGAGGGAAAAAGTCCCTGGAGACCACCCTAGTGTCAAACACACAACAATCAGCCTCAGCTATTTTGGAAACGCGGCGCAATGTGAATTATTTTCCTAGCATCATTTCACAAAGTGTTTTCATATTTAAAAATGTGTAGAGGCACTTTGTTTCCATGGTTATTTCGTAATGCTGAATATATCGATTTTTATTTTGCCCACTTGGGAGCAGTTGAAGAAGCTGTAAACACAGCACTGACATATCATCACGTTATAAAGGTGTAAATGTGTTAGCATAAAGATGTCTATTTACAGATCCAGCAGACGCAGAGCAACATTAGCATTCATTTCCAGTTTCTGGCCACCCGATGATTTTAAGTCCAATATTCACTCTCCTTTTAGTTCTGTTTTGGTCTCCACCAACTCCTGAGAAATATATCTGGCTCTTCAGCTGCTTCACGATCCATTATGTTCAACAGCTATTTAATAACTATATCTCTCTGCTGTTTGGTGCTGGTCAGGTAGAGTGATTAGTGCAGCTTTAAAACATGGTGTTTTGTAACAAAAACAGTTCTGAAAAAGTTAGAATCATCAGCGCTCTTTGACAAAACCCTAAATTTAAGTGTAAATTTCAGTGTGAATTAAATATATGTCCATGCCCATAACACCTCGTTTTACCTGTCACAGTCTAAAATTGTCTGGGCTAATTAAGCAATATTTTAATGGATCTGTATCAGCTAAAATAACGGTGATCATAATCTGATCTTCCCATTACACTGTATTTTGTCCAGCCTGCTAGAGTTACTGCAGTACTGCTCTCCTTAATGACAACTGGCCTCTACAGTGCGAGCATTTCACTGCAAATCAGACTGAAAATCGAGTCTGTGAATGTGAAAAATTATTTTGTCGCACAAGCGATCAACTTTGTTCCGACACCTGGGTTGGCAAAATTTGCTAAACTCCGATCGTAATGAATCCTTTTATGTCTCCTGTCTCCTCCTCATTTGCGAAGATCAGTGTACAAAAAAACATTCAGGAAGCAGCTTCTCAATTTTAGCCGGTGCCTTCAGTCTCTTTCAGGGGTTAAAATGAAACATCGGCTGCGGCAGGTCTTATTAGTGGTCGCTAATGGATGTTCATTCTGTGAGTAAGTTCACGGCAGAACAAAATACAACCTGGCTGTTGTTTGTGTGCTCTCTGCAGGCCGGTGTCTGTACCAAAGATTGTTTATGAGGCCAGATAAGCATCACTCTGTACCACCACTGCACGACCATGAGTGGACTGAGTGTCTAAACAACTCCACTGAGTCATATGTCTTCTCTCTACTGGATCACTGTCATTCATAAAATATGAATAATTTAAGCATATTAAGTATAGTTTTAAATCAGGACCTTGTGAAAAATAAGCTGTGTCAGATTTATAAGGCTACAGCTGTTATTTCAATCTGTCAAGATACATATTTAACATTTAGGTAAATGTAAGTATCGGATTGGACTTGGTAGCGGTGATACCCAATATTAAAGGACTTGGTTTGGGATCATGGCCAAACAAACTTGATTAGGGCATCCGTGGTTAAATGTGCTTCCTACCCTCTGGCCGGGGCTTTGGTCTCTCCAGACCTCCGTCCTGCATCAGCTCAAAGGAGAAGGACACGTTGTGGACCTGCAGAGAGAGTGAGGAGGCTGTTATGACACAACAAGGCACTACAGGACGTATGTTCACTACTGTGTAGGTAAATAAGTGAAGTTTTTTTAATATAGTACCTTTCACACAACAATGTCACAAAGTGCTTTACAAGAGAAAAGTACAAGAAATAAAACCACCAGAAAAGAAAAATATGAAATGAAAGAAATGATAAAACAAAAGCAACAACATCGCAAAATAGTAATAAACAATAATCAAACAATAAAACTATGTACATGCAACATGCAAACATCCGACACATACCCAACCTAAACTTTGCACATACAGGCAGAGGTTGGCAAGTACAAATCATACAACTCCACACAGCTTCTCGCTGATAAGGGAACATAGACACCGGTTGCTAAATCCCACAATCCACTCTGGGTCGATTCAATCGCGCTACCACAGCTTCCTGTGTCGGCAAACACAACACGGCTCTGTTCTGTCAGACCATAAGCCTCCAGCAGCTGCACAAACACTCAATAGATACATATCAGCAATATCACTCAAAAACCTCCTGACTCCAAGAAAGTGATACTGTCCCAGGTTTTTCATGTTATTACCAGTGTATGAGTGATTCCATGTAGGGTGAAAGAATTAACAGAACTGCGCAGAGAGCATTTATTACATTATTATATTTCTTGCCGCTGCAGTGGGGAGAAACACACAGGCTGGATATATTGGTTATAAGGTCTTTCCTGGAAACTGACAATTATGGGGACGATGATGAACGATACCAAAATGCTGGGCTGACATTTATTCAAAACATGTACCTTGAATCTTTTTCAGGTGGAAAATTTAAAAATGGAATCTTTTCGATTTTTAGTCCTACTGCATTTAGAGCTGAGAAACAGTCCTGTGGAGGAAACCAGCAAAGACGTCTGAGCTAATCTGACTTGTGAGCCAAAAAAAACTGCGACAGGAGGTAAAACCACTGAGAAAGAAGATATAGGAAGAGTTTTCTATTCTCTGCCCATTGTATCTGTGTGTGTGTGTGTGTGTGTGTGTGTGTGTGCTCGCGCGTGCCCGACCTGCTGTGATGTACTAAAAGCTTTGCCCAACAAGGGCTTATTGTGTGAGAAGCGTGACCTTAGCCATCTAATACAGTCAAAAAGAAAGGACGAGAATGAGCCTCAAGTAGAGATCTACTGAGCAGAAGCACGAGTGCTTTCTTGATGCTACGTGCTACTTTTTACAGCCCACCCTTGGTGTACCATCAATAGGTGTGTAGGCCCACACACACACACACACACACACAGTAATAGTGCCGAGCCCCTAAGCCACTCCAGTGTTTCCCTGTGCAAAAGGAGATTACAGATGCTATGGGGCTGGTGCCTGTTCTTCCAGGCCAGGAGTGTCTGTGTGTGTGTGTGTGTGTGTGTGTGTGTGTGTGTGTCTCTGCGCACACATACACACACACACACAGTTGCAGTTGTGTACATTGTAGAACTGATGCCCATTCTGCTTCGCAGCTTGGCAGAGGCCACTGGCCAAGACCCAAACAAAAGGCTACTGTGGTGTCTCCGCAGATTGCCTGTTCAGAATACCGTAGTACTACAGAGGCCAATGGAGAGGAGAGATGGTTCTGCACTGAATGGGCTCTGGGGAAAGCGGATGGCATTTATCAAGCTATTGAGAGGAGAGCGCTCGCTCCGAGTACGAGGCTCCTCAGAAATGGAGTATTGATTTAAGTGTTTCTTACATGATACGTCAGGACCAAAGATGAGTCACAACCCTGTTTCTCAGGCATCTCAAAGAGAAAAGATTGGATAAATCATTATATGGTGGAGCATAGAACTACAAGTCTAGATGCCTTTTGGTCCAGACAAATTTTGCACATTTTGTTAAATTTTTGCTTTCCACATATATGAGTGAACCAGTGTCACTTCACAGAAGTCATGCTTTCTTTATTTGTGGGGAATAACAATAGATGTAACTCAATCAGCGATGAAGAGAAGGATATACAGTGCAGACCATTATTCACCACCAAAAGTTATTAACCTGAAAACTCTGGTAGCCAACCTTGAATTTCCAGGGAGATGAATTTGACTCACATTTTCACCAAAAAAACAAGCTAAAGCAGTTGTGTGCAACAACGGTAAACAGCTAGCCATTTCTGCGGACATTCTTTTTTTCTCCATCATGAAATGGGATCCTTGTTTGAATCCAATGTAGCAGCTGATGTCCTTCATGATGGCACAAGGTACAAACTTGTCAGAATCTTTCAAGCCAACAGTCAGTAATTGTTTGATACTCAAAATATAGGTTTTTGGCTCACTAATGGATATAGAGAAAAGAAGAAATCACACTTTACCTTTTGGTCAAAATTCTCTGGTGTGAGGAAGAAGTTGTAGAGTGGCACAAAGTATCCCTCCAACAGCCCCATCAGCAATACCAGATAAACGCCATCTGCAAACTGAGACAGCAGTGCAGTCAGGTAAACAGACTGTATGATGCTGAGTCCTCTATAACTGAAGAAAACTTAAGGAGACAATTGGGTATGTATATTATATAACAGCTGTTTCCAGAATAAAATCTCAATCACCGATTAAAAATGTGTTAGGTCTGGTGGCAGAATCTCAGTGATGTAGATCTGAAAACCTCAGAAAATCTATCTATATCTTCAAGATTAGATTCCACTGGAGGTAATTATAATTTATTTTTAAAATAAGTATATACAGTTTGTGTGTGTGTGTGCGCACAAACTGTATACAGTGCAAACACAAAACAGTAAATCACCAAATGTACATTACTGGTCAAACGTTTTAGAACACCCCCATTTTCCTGCAAAGTTAAAAACAAAGTTTACATCACCAAAACAAACATTTTCATTATTCATATATCATTACTTCACTGTAAAATCAACCAATGACCAACTGCCCTCTCTTCCTTCATTACTATTATATAACATTGTACAAATAAAGCTTCTGCGAGTGTATCTTCACAGGCTGTTCCAAGGTACATTTGGAGACCTGTAGAAATGCGTTTTTGCATCAACTTCATCTGCTTCCATTGCAGCAGAATAGTTGTTGAAGTTGTCAACTCATTACTTGATCCCTGACACTTATATATCTCTTAAATGTACATTATATTTCAGTTCTGCTGACCTAACCTTTGTCTTTACCTTCTTTAGTTATTCTGCAGCAGTGGAAGGAAATGAAGCCTTGAAAGTTGATGCAGAAACACATTTCTACAGGCGTCCCCGTTTGTAAACATCTTGGAACATTTAATTGTTCATTTTATATTTCTAAAAATTTCTGTTTTGGTGACGTAAACATTGCTTTTTGACTTTGCTGCTTACTTTTGTACCATTTGAGTTTTTTCACTGGACTTGAACTACTTGTATATCAATACAAACTAGAAACTTTGGAGTAAGTGCACATGGTATGATAACCATCAATTTTCATCCCATGGTACTGTGAAATCAGTACAACCTTATCATCAGTCAGAATATATTGTGTAGGACCTTTGAACATTTGAAATGTATGCAGGTGTGTGACGTACCTGTGTGTCCAATTCAGACACCTCTAGGTTGAGTTTATTCAGGTGTTTGTTCACAAATGTAATCAATGTCTGAGAAAACACAACGGAAAAAGCCTGTCACAAAAGCTGGCAGCATCTCAAACAAGACAGGGAGTGTACACTCAACAATCTGCACACACATCTACACACACCTTGTAGACACACAGACAGATATATTCAAAAACAAACGTGGAAATAAAACAGGCCAGTTATGTGACACAAACCATTTTGGCCTCTGGCAGCCATAATGGAGGTCCTCACCACTAAAAATGGTTAAAGAGGTCATATTATGCTCATTTTCAGGTTCAAAATCTTATTTAGGGGTTGTACCATAACAGGTTTACATAGAAAACAAAAACACCATATTTTTGTCATACTGCACATTGCTGCAGCTCCTCTTTTCACCCTGTGTTGAAGGCTTCATTTTAGCTATGGAGTGATACATCTTGTCTCTAATTGATCTTTGTTGGGAGTTGCACATGCGCAGTACCTAGTTAAGGACTACTAGCCAATCAGAAGCAGAGAAGGGCGGGTCAGGGAGAAGCCGGTAAACAGCTTCAGTTCAGCTGTAGGCTACATGTTGCCGTCCAGCTTGGCAACACAGACTGGAGCAAGAGTTTCAGAGTGATGAGTTATTAATCTGTAACAAAAGTATCTTTTATCCATAAAGTTTTAACTGAGCTCTGTCTCTACATCACAGGAACAACTTTATGTCCACTGACTGCTTGGAGGGTAGCTAATGTTGGGAAGGGAGAGGAGAGATGTGTTCTGCAGCTCAGTGTTTCTCTACCTGCGTTTTGACGGCGTGTAGGAGTAGCCGCTTGGCGAGCGTTATATGACGTGCATTTAGCTTTCATCCCTGTGACGTCACAAGGATGAAAGGGGGGTGGCTGCACTACAAACAAACTGTTTTCAAGTGGTTCAGAGCAGAGTTTTCTGTGAGAGATGGGAACTCCCTTTGGGCTGGACTTTTTCACTTTGCAAACCTATTACATGCACAAAAAAGGTATATAACTCAATAAAGCAGAGGGAAAAAGCCAAAAAGCAGAATACCACCTCTTTAAAAGCAACATGTGCTCCAAACTGACTGTCTGAACAGAAGTGAATTGGTAGAAAATAATTTCAGCTAGTACGAGGTCCTTGAGGTAAGATTTTTTTTGTCAAACTACTCCAAGTTCAATAATTAACTTTTAGTTTATAGTAATTAGTATAATTAGTAACATATTGTTTTACAAGATTAAGAGGCCGGCTACTTGGCTGTTAAAAAAATACTCTTCTCATACTAAAATGCCCTGACAATGATTACATCAAGTCGTCCTAGACTTGTTTTGGAGTAGAGATTACAGAGCAGAGATTTCTGAAGACAAGACTGTTTCCAAAATCACAGTAACCCAAATAAGGGCAACAATCTTATTGGATTATTTGGACTTAAAACAATGGTGAACGGATTTATACCCACACCACGACAATTTTCTTTTTGAGGTGTGTATTTTCTTGTCAAGGGCCTGCTTCATAAATCAGGCTTAATAGAAGTTAGCTAGATAACTGTGCAGAGGAAGATCTGGTTTGGGGTTTTAAATACACAAAAACTAGATATTACATATTTAGATGTAATTTGCTATTTAGCCATGATGGCCAGTGGCCGAAACATTTGAGATTGCCAGTTCAAAGCCTCAATACCTTTTTTACAACATTGAGTTTATCCGGAGCGTGGTCAAACAGGGTGTCAAAAGCGTCCCGCTCTGTGAAGAATAAACAAAATAAATGATTAATCAAAAAAGTGACAACAGTATGCGAACATTCTCGAAAGACATATTGTTCACTATACTCTTCTTCATGCGAACATACCATGTCTGCCAGAGAAAGCCCTGAGAGGAAGAAAAAAAACAAAAGGGAGGAAGAAAGACACACAAATAAGAGTCAGTTTCTGCTTATAACAATTTTAACGCTTGCATTTTCATAGGAAACACGAGAAAATGAAAGACAAGTGCTTCCAGTTCAATCACAGAGGAATGTAGAGAATGAAGGGATTATGTCACGGAAATGACAATACAATAATGTAGCTAGGGTATCATAATTTGATTAACAATAAACACAGGTACACCTCGGGTATTCAAATAACCTGGGCATCATCAGTGGGATGTCCACAATGACCACATAGTATAGCACAATTCAGTAATCTCAACAGCAGAACAATACTGTTGGGTGCTGATACAATGAACGAAGACGTGCCTTTCTGTAAATGCAGGTCTTCTATGGGAATGAAGGGCCTCTCCTGTCTGTTATTACAATGTTAGCACTTTGGAGGAGGATGATGTTGTTGTTGTTGGAGAGGGTCAGGTGGTTTTGGAGGGAAGGGAACACTGCAGTGTGAGTGTCCCCGAGGAAGAGATATCGCAGCGGGCAGGCCAGCAAGAAATGGCAGGATCACACACACACACACACAAGCTTTCTCACACGTGTTCATGGTGTAATCTGTGATGGCAATGGCAGGCAGGTCTGGGCAATGGTCCTGGTGGTGTGGTAATAACCGTATTTCCACTGTGACCGTGTGTGTGTGTGTTATTAACAGGGTTTCTATCTACCATAACCAAATGTGTGTGCTTGTGTGTGTTGGCCTGCTGTTATCTCCCTCGTTGCTGCCGTCAGGCTGCAGGACAGCCTCACAGGGAGAAAAAGTGTGTGTGAGCGTGTGTGTGTGTGTGTGTGTGTTTTAAATTGTCTAATTCTTCAGCTGAGGGTGCCATCACACATCTTGTTGAAATACAATGGCTGTCTATTCACCACAGCACAAGATGTCTTCAAAAGTCCAGTTTCTGATTTAAATTGTAATTTTGTTTATTTTCAGTCCATATTAGATGTTTATATTTTTCAAAGTAAGGTATTGAAAAAAAGTACAATATAGGTATTATTATCACTAATGTCTGTCAACACTGCGTGTAAATGCTATACATGCGTTGTGAGGTGTAAAAATGAGTCAGATGGCAGAGTGTACTTACTCTGTGTTGCCAGTGATTTCCTCCTGAATTTGCCTGGACTGAAGGATACCCTCTCTTTTCTGAAAGACATAAACAGAGGACAGCATGTAAATATGCAATTTTTTTATTATACTGAATATGACCGAGAAAAACAATCTGGCTGGTGAAAAATGAAGTGGCAATAGCCAGCAATGAATTCACAGCAGTGGAGAGTGGTGTTATAAAACCAACATTCTAAAAAAAAAGATGACGACTTGTTATGCCAGCGAGCAGACACGTATTGTACATTCATGTAAGAAAGCCTTCAAAAACAATCTTACACCCACCTGGACGACCACTACTTGAATTGAAACGTGGTCTGGCAATCTGATTGGTGCTCTGAAGTGCTGCGACAGCGCCACCAGCAGGTGCAAGATGGCGACTATACTCTTAGCATGAACCGCTAATGTGGGGAAAATAAGAACAATAAAATAACAGTTACAGAACAAATAACATAAATGGTGCAAGAAGTTGACATAATTTACATGGGACATAATTCACATGTGAACCAGAGTAAGTACAATCAACATTATTAAGCTTTTCACTTACGTTTAAAGCCACTATCCATCTGACTATGCACCCCCTTACTTATTCATTTACTACCTTTCTAGTTTGCTCATGCTGGTTCCATGCTTGCATTGTTACTGATTTTTCCCAAAAAATTATCTCAAATGTAGCAATTTATTAGAATAAATGACAAAGAGGCTGTCATCTGCTATTAATAGACAGATATGCTGCTGTTTCTAAACATTTTTTATGATCTTTAGTATTCTTTCAATGAAGTCACTGTAGGCATTGGGATGCCAAAAAACAAGCCACATATTTTCCTTTATTCTTTCATCCTTGCAAGAATTTAGAATTAAAAGTTATACGTGACAAGGCCAAGCACCTTCAGTGGTAAATGCAAACATAACACAGGCTTTTGTACAGAAAGAAAAGACAGAACAAGTCTAAAATCTTTGTCTGCAGCATATAGTCAACCATAAAGAGCCTGCTCAGTCAGACATACTGAGTAACATGTCTTTAGTCATCTGAGCAAATAGGATTTACCTTTGGATACACAAAACAATCAGGATCAATTAAATGTCTAAAGCAAGCCTTTGATTGTACCCCATGGCAATGGCAAATCGCAGACAGCAAGCTAAAAGCCTTCATAAAACCCATTAGATCCTCACTGCATAAGAGGATCCAAATAAGTTATTCAATGGCCTCAGAATGGGGGATGAAAGTAGGGACAAACAAAAGGGAATTGATTAAAAGAGAACCCCTCAAATAAAAGGACTGCAAAATCAATTACATTCCATGTAATTCACTGTGCTCTTTAGCATTTTTGAAGACATCTCACACAAACAGCTTTCAAGGACAAACTTGTACCAGAGGTACATTTAAGAATGTCATATTATTTGGTTTGAAATAAATTCATTTGATATGGCCTGTATCTGGCGCACTACTCTCTTAAATCTATTCTGTTCCTTATCCTAAAGCTCTTCCCTGTCTCTCCACATGTCATCTATTTTCTACCTTACTCATACAAGTAATCTGCCCTTTAGCCACATGCCCCACATCCACATGGGTTTTCTCCTCCCTCTCTTTCTCAAATCCCATATACAGGTGCTGGTCATATAATTAGAATATCATCAAAAAGTTGATTTATTTCAGTAATTCAATTCAAAAAGTGAAACTTGCATATTATATACATTCATTACACACAGACTGATATATTTCGTGTTTATTTAATTTAATTGTGATGATTAAAACTGACAACTAATGAAAATCCCAAATTCAGTATCTCTTAAAATTAGAATATTACTTAAGACCAATACAAAAAAAGGATTTTTAGAAATGTTGGCCAACTGAAAAGTATGAACATGAAAAGTATGAGCATGTACAGCACTCAATGCTTAGTTGGGGCTCCTTTTTCCCCGAATTACTGCAGCAATGCGGCGTGGCATGGAGTCGATCAGTCTGTGGCACTGCTCAGGTGTTATGAGAGCCCAGGTTGCTCTGATAGTGGCCTTCAGCTCTTCTGCATTGTTGGGTCTGGCGTATTGCATCTTCCTCTTCACAATACCCCATAGATTTTCTATAGGGTTAAGGTCAGGCAAGTTTGCTGGCCAATTAAGAACATGGACACCATGGTCCTTAAACCAGGTCCTGGTAGCTTTGGCACTGTGTGCAGGTGCCAAGTCCTGTTGGAAAATGAAATCTGCATCTCCATAAAGTTGGTCAGCAGCAGGAAGGATGAAGTGCTCTAAAACTTCCTGGTAGACGGCTGCGTTGACCTTGGACCTCAGAAAACACAGTGGACCAACACCAGCAGATGACATGGCACCCCAAACCATCACTGACTGTGGAAACTTTACACTGGACTTCAAGCAACGTGGATTCTGTGCCTCTCCTCTCTTCCTCCAGACTCTGGGGCCTTGATTTCCAAAGGTAATGCAAAATTTACTTTCATCAGAGAACATAACTGTGGACCACTCAGCAGCAGTCCAGTCCTTTTTGTCATTAGCCCAGACGAGATGCTTCTGACGCTGTGTCTTGTTCAAGAGTGGCTTGACACAAGGAATGCGACAGCTGAAACCCATGTCTTGCATACGTCTGTGCGTTCTTGAAGCACTGACTCCAGCTGCAGTCCACTCTTTGTGAATCTCCCTCACATTTTTGAATGGGTTTTGTTTCACGATCCTCTCCAGGATGCGGTTATCCCTATTGCTTGTACACTTTTTCCTACCACATCTTTTCCTTCCCTTCGCCTCTCTATTAATGGGCTTGGACACAGAGCTCTGTGAACAGCCAGCCTCTTTTAACAATGACCTTTTGTGTCTTGCCCTTCTTGTGCAAGGTGTCAATGGTCGTCTTTTGGACAGCTGTCAAGTCAGCAGTCTTCCCCATGATTGTGTAGCCTACAGAACTAGACTGAGAGACCATTTAAAGGCCTTTGCAGGTGTTGAGTTAATTAGCTGATTAGAGTGTGGCACCAGGTGTCTTCAATATTCTACCATTTCACAATATTCTAATTTTCTGAGATAGTGATTTTGGGGTTTTCATTAGTTGTCAGTTATAATCATCAAAATTAAAAGGAATGAACACTTGAAATATATCAGTCTGTGTGGAATGTATGTATACATTACCCAAGTTTCACTTTTTGATGATATTCTAATTATATGACCAGCACCTGTACTAGGGATGTACCCAAATTCAAATCGGTTATTAGGGAAAGCAAAAAATATGCAATGGAAACGGATTTTACATTTGCTAGAAACTTCTAACTGTGTCTGACCATTTCTTTCACTGTGACTGAGGAATCTCTTTCCGTGCAAAATGTTTGAAACTTTGAGGTGGCTGGTAATATTGGGGCACAGAGGCTTAGCGGACTGGTTATAGTGGGACAGACAAGCTAAGCGGACTGGTAATAATATGAACTGAGAATGGTCAAGCAAAGACGTGGAACCAAGAGCAAGTTTGAGGACTTTGTAGTGCACAAAATGAAGTTCAGACAGGTTAGTACAACCACTGCTTTGCCATGCAGCATAGCACTGTGTGTGCGTACTATGTGATGTGTAAAAACTGTGCAGCTGTCTTTGCTTTGATATGTGTGTTTATGGCTGCAGCCGCTGTGGAGTTTATGTTGTTCATACATCTGTGTGGTCTTCTTTGGTGATGTTTCATTCTGCTGTTAAAGTGACAGTTATTTTATTTATGTAGTCCAATACTGCTTGTTGTACGCACTGCAGCATCCATAGCTCTTTTTATTCATCGTTTGTGTTTAATAGTCTGAGTTTTGTCTTTTTTTCTGGTTAAACTGTAGTGAGGCTATTCAGAGGAAGCTGTATCTTTATAACTGGTAGGCATAGGCGGCAAAATCTGTCTACAAATGGAATTTATTGTTGGTTTGGACATCGTGGCTCAGTGGCGTGGTGTTTTCCCACCAGTGGTGTAACAGTGCTAAACAATATTTCCATTTAGAAAACTTTTTTTCAGTTTCTGATTATTCAATGTCCCCCAGTTTAAGCTTGGGTGGTGGTAGAGTTCAGTGGTTGTTACAGCTAACATCAGTGTGCTGAGAGCCTGATAGTAAGTATCATTAGTCCCTGTGTCAGATAAAAGAGTGTCATCAAAGGAGGCATAGAGAGCTCTATTGACATGCATGTCTACATTCACTGTTGTTGTCAATCTGAAAGCTTGCAGCTCAATAAGAAGCATATTAATCCAACGGCACGACGAGAGCATAAATCGTGCGGGGAGGTCTTAAAACAACCAGACACACTCCGTGCATGAGAGGAACAACAGCTTGACTATTTTTTTAAATGATAACTATCAATGATACATGTCACTAAAAACTATTATTATGAATGTTATGTCTGAAAAGCATCATTTCCTCATCTAAAAGCAAAGCCAACTTTGCTGCAAGACAGTCCAGGTAGAATTTCAAAGTAATAATAATAATGCAGGGTTTCACTATATTGTCTGGCCTATGATTCCAAAATTCTCACGACCACCATTCAGCAGGATTCTTTATTTTTTAAATCAAGGATAAATGTAACTAAAATCTCTTATTACAGCTGCCATTTTAACTTGTAATAGCATCATAGCAGGTAACACAGTACTAGTAATACTAGTAAGTGGTTCCATTGATTCAGGATGCACAATCGCAAGGCTCTGGTGATGTAATACAGCAATTATTAATGTTATTAGTTATACTTGTGTTTGACAAGTCAAAATATCTGTGAAAAAGGCTGATGAGCGTGCTGTGAAACTGTGAGCATGGTATGTATTTTATAATGTCAGTATTATTTATTATGGTTTGTATGTAATTATCAACAACATGCAGGGAAAAACTGTTTATTATACATAACAGATCAGCATATCAGTCCAAGAACCGGTAGGTCTTGGCTACACTGTGTTGGCGTCTCCAAGTGCACCTGCTGTTTTGGTTCATGTATGTGCAAAAAGTGCAAAATGGCTGTCTGAAGAGAATTATGGATCAGAGGGTGGATCAAACAGGTGAAAGACACCTTTCTAGGAAATCCAGTTGTTGTCTGGACGGTGTGGAGCGGCACGCTTTGCACACACAGAGCCACCAATCAGCAGCCAGAGGCAGATAGTGTGGGTTTATATTTAACGTGTACAATAATGGTAAAACTAGCTAATAAAAATTAGACATTTTTATGACCACATCAATTTTCAGTCAGTTACAATCAGTTTAATTCTACTGTATCTGATAAATGGTCACATCATATCATAAAATGTGACACAGGAGCGCCTGCACCGTTATGCATCTGAAGAATAAAACATGAAACGCCACTTTTGCTAAAAGGAAAGTTTGAATGGAGGCAATGACAAGGGACTGATGAGCCGCTTTAATCCGACGTTACACCCGACCCGTCTGGTGTGTGTGGTTATTCTGTAGCAGCCTGGTGTCGTTTGCACGTGATTTAATGAAGGCAAGCACAGCTGACGGCCGTGCGAAATGGCACTGCGCTCTGACGCGGCACTTATCAAATCAGAGGCTGCAGATTTATCACCACATCTGTCCTGCTGCCTTCAGCTGCAGCAGGGATTTAATGAATTGAAGGAGAAGCTTTTCATACAGGTTAGAACCAAATATTCTAGTGCTCTTTCCATCCCAGAGTTTTACATTCCATTCTACAGATCAGTTGTGTAGCAGTATATTGTATAGGACAGTATAAGCACCTCACTCTGTGCACTGTAATCTCAAAGCCATTCAACTTTTAAACAAGATAGACAGAAAACTGAAGAAGGTCAAGGTGAGAAATGTGTATGTTGCCAGCATTTCAATTGATTTTTTTAGTTTGTTTGTTTTAGTAGCCTAGGCTAAATCATTTACCAATTTAAGGAATGTTCTAGCTAACTATTTGACCCGAGCAGCAGCCTTCACAGTTAACGTTAGCTTACTACTTCCAGTCTATGTTAAGTTTTCATCAGTTGTGCACAAACAAAATTATAAGAAAGCCTTTCAGAGTTGAGCAAACTGCTAGCTAAACATTAAACTGGGTGTGTCAATATCTGCTCTGTTAACTTGTTGACAGATTTATTGCTTGCCTCATTAGGCAGAGAAAAAGCTGTTGCTCTCAAACAGCGTCCACTTAATCAGCTGAGTCAGTGTACTGGTGAAGGGATCGATCAAATAGACGGATAGAAGGTTTGCACAGTGTTTTATGGTACCTTGGAAAACTATATATAGTATTTTTGAAATATAAAGTAGTTTATTTTGATACACTTAACATTAGCATTGTTGGTTTCTAATTTTAAAATACATTTTGAAGTATTCCTGATATATAGACATGTAAATGTTGAGGACTTAAATTGAAAAGGACAAACATGAAATCATAAAACAAGTATAAATTACAGCATTGCAATAAGGGGTAATAACAAACATATTAGAAAATTTCCTTACAGTCAACATTCCAGCGAATGTTCCTGGTGGAGAGTTTGAGAGAGTCATTGATGCGCTCTAAAACAGTCTGCAGCTTCTGTTTCTGGGCAATCTCAGACTGGGTCACCTCTGCCACGTTCAGTTTTTCACCTTCCAGCTTTTCTGAAACACAAGACGCAGGCAGAGCCAAAGACATATGATTATTTATTAGCTTAATACTTTCACTCTTTGTAAAACTATACTGATACAATTACAGAACTAAAGGCCAAGTTTTCTGTCTCACTAGCATTTCCTCCACGTGCATAGTTCAACTAATTACCAAATAGTTTCTGCAGGACCTGTCCGTCATACAGATCTTCAGCCAGATCCTTCACAATGATCCTCTCCCCGACCAGGACATCGTTTATCCAGTCAATCAACACCTGCAAGGGCAGAATAAAACATGAATTACTCATAATTGTAACTTGCTAAATCATTTTGAAAATGATCTTTCAATTAATGATGATGTAACAAGAATTTCTTTTTAAATAATCTATTTGATGTCCAGAGTAAATACTGAAGCAATACTTTAGCAATTGTAACTAGATTTACTTGGTCTGTCCTGTCCACCTGGACTTTTCCCAGATTTTCAATGGAATCGTAGCTTCACTCGAGATTCTTTTGAAGTCTGACCAGGAGATATGCTGACAATAACTGTCCAGCTGCGACAAACATCATTGTACTAGTCTAAGGCCTTTGGTAGTCTAGCAAAAGTTCCCTAAATTATGGATCGTCAACTGTTACCTGCGGGCCACATACAGCTGGCCAAAGCTTCCCATCTGGCCAAAAAATAACTGGAGGCAAAAAGGTGTTTCCGTATTTAGAAAGTCTAGCTCCCTGTATATTAAATAAAAGTATACCATGTCATTTAACGATGAATCCCATGAATAAAATCCTACAGCTGAAATGCTCACATTTGGTTAATGGGAGAAGTTACATTTCCCCTCTGACTCAAACTTCTTAACATCAGGCTTGACAGCTGTTAGGCTTATTTGCAAGCAGTCCTCTAAAGACTGGTTTGACAGTCGGTTCCTCTCATGTGTCTTGATATTGTTTAACTTTGAGAACACAGATTCACATGTATAGGATGACCCAAACATGACCAGAGCATCTTTCATTTTGCTGGAGGCCTGGGTTTCAACTAGTTCGCTTCATTCAACAGCATCACTCCTTCACGTTAGAGGAGAATACTCCGCCTGGGCTGATCGCGAATAGGTCACGCACATTCAGTGACATCCCTGGAAATAGCAAAGTCATCAAATCTGGCAGAGTAATTCTCCCTCGGCTGTGTGATGTATTTCTTCATATTCTCTGTGACGTTGCTCACGGCCGCAGTCTTCAATGTGGTGAAGTACAGCAGCCTCACTGATAACAAATCTATGTGGAATAGATCAAGTTTGTTCCCACAGGCATCAAGCTTTTCCACCAAATCCACCCCCCATTTTACTTTCCCTGGTAGTTGCAGATTTAGTACATTCAAATGGGAACATATGTCTGCTATAAATGCAATGTTGCACACATATTCACTGTCTTGCATGATGTGCAGGTGGTCAGCAGCTCTTTTTGATTACTTTGCATCTACTTTGCATCACAAAATCCACAACTTGATCCCTAAGCTCAATGAAGCGCTCCAAGGCTTTGCCTTTACTCAGCCAGCACATGTCACTGTGGAGAAAGAGTCATCGTGAGATTCCAGCACAAATTATTAGACGAAGTTCTGACAAAGTTAACTGTCTTCATTGTTTATCCATTCGTTTGGTGCACAGCACACTTTATGAATGAGACAGTTAAGTTCATTACAGTTTTGGTCACGCCATTGTTAATTCTGCTCACCAGACCCCTGGCAGGAGCATCGTCTGTGACGATTAGGTTGACAAGCCATGCTTTTTAAATAGTTTTCCAGATATAATGTCAGCAGTCTTATTACCTTCCAGCAGAATCAAAGCCAACAGCTCTTCTTTGAAATCTTTCCCGTCAAAATATCTGACAAAATCGCACAACTGGAAAATGTCAGTGTTATCAGTGGAATTGCCAGGGATATGTGTTGAGGTTTCAAGACCCAATCAAGTACAAGTCGCTGGACGTCCTCTGCCAAGACAATGCACTCCTTAACAACCTCAGTGTTGGTAAAGGGTTTGTTATTTTTGGCGATAACCCAGCCAGCCTGAAGAGATGTACTAAGAGATGAATTAATAATTCTGCTGGCTTGAGAATATCCAGCTTTCAAGGTGGTGATTTTTCTGTACAGGGTATGACTTTTCAGTCTTGTGTAAAGGTGACGCCTAAGATTGTATCCTTTTGCAACAGCGATTGTTTTATAGCAAATGACATACAGGTTTAGCACTACTCAAAGTTGGCATGATGAATGAGGACTCCGCATCAACTTTCCGCTTTGGGCTCTGTGACATTTTTTTATTAGATTTTTGCCACTGATGGACAACAGGACAGCTCCCAAAAGTGAAGCCAAAATATATCAATAACCCCCTGGTAAGAAAGTAAAAATATTCAACACCAATATGCTAATTAGGCCTAAATAAATGTATCTGAAAGTGTCTGCTAAGAAAGATTCTGGCCCTTGGGCAAATGTAGTTGATGACTCTTGCCTAAAGAATTTGCGAGTTTGACTCCATTTATCTCACGCCATCCTCACCTGTGTCCCCAGCATAAGCCTGTTCCACGGCACCGTGCTGCCACAGCAACTTTTAAAGTAGGGATGGTTTTACATGTGTGACGCGCTGTGCTTGATTACTCACAAAACTTAACCCATAGTTGTTCACTTTTCACACTAATAATTTGCTTTTTATCTTTACTTACTTATATCCTTTGCTGCAAGTTATTAAGACACACAGCACTATAACTCTAAATGACTGTATTTTACAGATAAATGGTAGATTAAATCATTTAAAGCTTACCTTCATGAGCTCCTGCAGTTTGAGGTCATTCTTGGAATTGGGGTCCACCATGGTGCGTACTTCATTCTCCTCTAATGGATGAGCAGAAACAGAATGTTAAAGCTTTTATTCTAAAGTGAGGAAGACTAGCAACACTACCCACACAATAAATAAATAGCATTTATTAGCATTTTAGATAATTTTGCACTCCCAAAAAGCCTCTTTCCCCAAGTAACCAAGCCAGAGTGGCACAATGAAATGACTTATTACCAAAAAAGGGTAACAAGCTCACCACAAAATCTGCTTTACAGCAACTTAAATAGACTTACAGTGTATTGAAATGGGCGTAGCAGGTAAGGTTGTAACAGTACATGTATTTTCCAGTTTTAATGGCTCAACACAGTCTTGCTGGGGGTGGCAACGGCACAGTGGGTAAGGCGCTTTGGTGTGAGAGACTAGGGTTCAATCCCCCACTGTGACACATCCAACAATGTGTCCCTGAGCAAGACTCTTAACCCCTAGTTGCTCCAGAGGTGTGCGACCTCTGACATGTATAGCAATTGTAAGTCGCTTTGGACATAAGAATAAATGGAGAATAAGCACAAGTCTGTGTCCTGGTCCATGTGGAACACAATGTCAAAAGTGTGTGTTCCCCACAGAGGCCTTTGGCAGTGGGTCGGTTTGTTGACTGCTGACAAAAATGTAGCTGTCAGATTTAGTGAAGCTTCCCATCTCCTCTCCTGTTTGACTGCAATAAGGTCTCAGCATACCTACAGCACCTGTCCACAGACCCTCTCATCAGTTGACTTGTGTGATCTGCCCACAACCATTGCTGATGCCACAATGCTGTACTCTTAACCTTGTGGGAGTTGTCATTGCTCTCTAACACTGTAGTTAGCGCTGTGGACAAATCTGCAGCAAGCACACATTACTTACATACATGTGAAAAGATGATGTTTTAGCCAACGTGGCCAGTGTCTCTTGGTGAATAAGCACATAATTGTCTTGGACATGAACTATTACATTACTAAACTGTCTGGGTTTAGGTCATTAAGATACTTATGTAGTTTTTTAAATTGCTAAATGTTTGTCCTTGTTTTTCCGAAAAGGCTTTTTTTAATAATAGCCTTATTCTTAATAGTTAGTTTTGGCTTTGAGTGTTTAAAGTCTATAGAGAATAAATACATGTTTCAAAATGTCAATGAAAAACTGAAAAGGAAAACTTTCCCATTGGAAATCAACTATACCCCACATGCCCTTTGAGCAAACCCCTTAAAGCAAATGTGTGTAACAGGGCCTGTGAGTGTAGTCGTTTACCTAGCATGGTGTCCTCAGGGTCCAGCTCATAGTGGGAAGGGCTGAGGGGAAGGTTGATGGCATTGATCCCTTCTTCCTGAAGCTCAGACACTATTAGAGAGAGGCACAAACATTATTTCAGATTCATTTAGATTCAGACAAACAATGTGGATGTCTGACACGTCATGCGGACACTCTTGAATTTGTGTCGACTTCTCCTGTGATTTTCTACTTCTTGTCCATTTTAAAAAATGAAATAAATAACCAACCAAGTACAACACTGGCATGGTAGATTTTACTTATTGTCAAAACTGCAGATTCAAAGATCAAAACCAACCATGTGTTCAGCTACCGTGTCTGTGGCCCCAAACCCATTCTTTTCTCGGGAAGTTGTAAATCTCTAAAAATCTATCAATAATTCAAGTTTTTTAAAGACTAGGAGATTTTCTAAAACAACTGGGCATTGTAGTTTTTAGCAAATGTTACTTAAACAGCAGGATATTGTTTGGGACCTACAGTGTTTCCCACAGAATGCCACACAACCCGGGCGGCAGCGGCAGCTGGGGGGTTTGGGGATTATATTTTCAATTTCTAGAAGCTTATTTCACCATTTTAATTTCACTTCATTCTCCACCTTATTAAGGTGTTTACTCACACACACACACACACACACCTACACTTTTGCTGCAAACACACCAGCCGAAAAGACACATACCTCGTCTTCTGTGGTTAGGGTTGCAACTTACAATTATTTTCATCATCGATTATATTTTTGACTAATCAAGTCATCATACAGTCATCATCACAACTTCCCAAAGCCCAAAATTATGTCGCTAAATTGCAGGTTATACTAAACCAACAGTCCCAATTCCAAAAACTGTTCACTGTACAACGATATAAAAAAGAAGTCCATCATCCTCCTATTTGAGAAGCTGAAATCAGATAATTTTTGGTGTTGATGCTTGATGAATTTCCTAAATGATTAACTGATCTTTAAAAAGCCCGTAATAAAAGCCACAACACAAGTAAAGCTAACCAAGTTAACAAAGTTTATTTGCCTATCACAAGCTCAACATGTAACCCAACGTAACAATACGTCCATGAAGAGCAGATCAGCTGGGACAAAGACATGAACATAGCCCTGAATAACCACCAACAGTGTTCAGCAGTAGTTTGGACGGCTCCCTAAATATTCTCTTGATTCCACAAACACCCATTACCAGAGCCTCCATCAAGACCGTTTGACGTCAGACAAACACAGACTGGTGTTGCTTCCTGCTTCTCAGCGGGCTTTATACAAGCCCAGCATGCCGTTCTTCTCAGTGTGTCAGATACCTGAGGAGGCTTGATCACTACTGATCTCTGTATGTGTGTCCAACTGTGTGTGTGTGTCCAACTGTGTGTGTGTGTGTGTGTGTGTGTGTGTGCTGAAAGCATGGAGTGAACTTCCTGTGCATTTCACTGGGACAACATCCTCTTAATCAACACCATCCACAAATGCTTGCATGTACAGTATACTGTCTGCATGAACACACACACACACACACACACACATATCACATCACACAGGGATGTGCGAGAATATTCCTAGAGTGACACGCTACCACCCACTCACCCGACATAACCACCGCTACAACACCACAGTCAACTAGATCCAATATTAGTTCTACTCATGCACATGGCAACTCTCCACTTTCTTTTGTCTGACACTAAAAAAGCATGCAACTGCATGACACATCAAACTGAACAAAGTCATTATGTGTGTTAGGCACTCGTGCCGTTTGTGTGTGGCAGAACTTTTTCCACAACAAATGAAAATATCAAGAATTAAGAAAGTTTCAAGCAGTCAATCTGCAAGTGGCATTACTCGCCGCTTATTTTATAATGGAAATCAATGAAAACCTAACTTGGCAAAACAGAAAAGAGTAAATTCATTCAAAACATTTAACTAAATCCTTTGGATTATGTGTGCATGAATGTTGTTCTTATTTCAGTCTATCCCAATAAGGATCCCAGGGGCTCGATTTTCAGAATGTTAAAAATGTTTATTTGGGTTTTGATTTGGTAGATTTAAAGGTTCAGCGTGTAATATTTGGTAGGATCTACTGACAGAAATGCAATAAAAATAGACAGGATATGTTTTCAGTGATGTATAATGCTACATACCCTCTTACATGGATGTCACCATGTTGCACGGCCATGTTTCTACAGTAGCCCAAACGGACAAGCTGCTCTTCAGAGCGCGTTTCGTCACTACGTTGAATACGTAGAAGAAGAAGAAGAAGAGCACACGTATTATTTAGCATTTAGTCCATGTAGAGTGAACTAGATGTCTGCGTGTTGTTAATATGCTCTGATAATGCTAATCCAACACATCTCGTCTTAAGAGCACATGAACACACACTGAAGTCGGAAGAAAGACTTGAAACCATTCGAGGAGCATGTGAATACACCGTGAGCCGCTGGTCGCAACTCGCAACCCTCACCAATAGATGCCACTAAAACTTACACACTGAACATTTAAAATGAGACTGTGAAACGTCTGAGAGAAGAAATAGCACATTATTTCTCTTACAAATGAAAAGTTAATTTCATAAGCAATAAAAGACACATTGCTCAATTTAATACACACAGTGATATTGTTGTGAAACTGATATTAAAGAATTAATTTGCTGACTCGTCTTTGCTTGCGCTACTGTTACGCTAAGTTTTAGCACATCACAGATAAATATTTCAAAATTTCTTGTTTTACTTTTGGCGATAAAACTTTAAATGTTAAACTGTGACAAGCTGAAACATAGCGTGGCAGCAGTGCAAGTATATAGCTGCGTTTTGACCAAAGGAACTACACCCCGGAACTAGGAACCTTTGGAGGAACTGTGTTTCCACCGAAGGAACCAGGGTCTAACAGCTGATGGAGCTATGCTAAACACTGGGTCCTGAGTTGTTGTTTTAAGTGTATCAGTCAGGAAGTTTTTACACAGAGCTGAAGTCGGTCTCCTCCTCTCCAAAACAAGCGGAACAGCTGATTACAGCAGGTAATAAAGCTTGTTCAACATCACGTTCCTCCGACGCAGGCGGACACAAACGTGAGTCTGCAGCTGATCTGCAGCTCTTGTTGGCTGGAAATGTTTTAATAACCTTCCAAACTGTCACGATTTTATGTTTGTGTTGCTTTCTCTGTGGTGGAGTTTAAGAACTTTATGGCTTTATCCAGTTTGTTATTAAATTTGTAATGAACTTTATCTCGTCTCTCCATTATACTCCCCCACAAGCAAAGCCTATAGATTTTCATTATATTCCAGTAAAATATGATGTTCATTTTTTTATTTTGTTCATGATAGTGGTTACAAATAATGATGCCTGTGCATTGTACAGCGTATAGGCCTACAGCCTACGTCAGCTGGATAATTTGCCTAATCTTCGCAGGTCTTTAGAGCATCGTGGAAACGCACACAACAGTGGGCTGAAGGAACCTTTTAGTTCCTTGAAAACAGATCCAGATCCTTTATAAAACAGTCTATGTACCACTATAAAACAAAAAGAGCACAGTGCTGCTATTTTTATTTGTGGCTTTCAATATAACACTTGGTGAAATGATTTTGTATCAGTATCAGTTTTTGAACATTTTCAGCGCATTTTACCAATACTACGACAATACAGCTAACTGTGATAATTACGGTCACTTAATCGTGAAACAGTAAAGTAACATTTCGCTTTTTTTGAAACTGCTCAATGAACTAAATCTCTCATCTCACACGGTATCCGTCACTAACATGTTAACGCTGTTCTGCTAGCTAATGTTCATTGCTTGGTTGCTACTATAACTTCGGGTAACTTCGCTTTGTTGCACGCACCAATGCATCTCACGTGATGTGTTTAACCCAACGACTCTTGGTCCTTTCATCACATCATCTGCACATGGAAGTTCTTTGACGCTTCAGTAACGTTAGCTTGAGAGAAACAGTTACAAATGACGTCACATTCGCAACTTTTGGGTTTGTGGTCTTTCTAATTATTTATTTTCAGGGTCTTATACAACAGTTTTACAGCAATCCTGCATTTTTCTGGAATTGTCTTTTAAATTTACAAGCATCATGTGTGTAATCCAGGGCTCATAACGGGATAAAAAAAAAATGTGCTGTCTCTCGCCGCTGACCACATATTTTTTCCAAAATAAGGTCCCAGGGTGGTCCCAGAAGAGGAGGGACTCTCTATATATGTCCAACCTTAATCATCATTTTAGGTTATGAGATATGGACAGCTGGATATTGTTTCATGCACTGGTATCAGTGGTGAACAAAAGATAGCTTTTTCAGTAGAATGTGTGTATAAAAGGGAGTACAAAAACTTTTATAGCCACTGTTAGTGGCTGGTAATTTACACACTCATATGGGGGTATAGCTGCTGTAGAAAAACACCCCATTCCAATTAGCACAATTTGATGTTACTGTAATTATCACTTGTACTATTTAAGGCTGAGCAAATCCAGGGTGGCGTGTTATTAGAGGAGGCATCATGAGTAGATTAATATGAAATATGAAAGTGAGATGACCAAGGTACTACTTCAATCATCTGGTATGTTTAGCAAGTCTACAAGGATTTATTTATTTTTGCATCAGCTCCAGTGTTAAAAAAGATTTGCTCACCTCTATTAACACATTGCATAGGTTCAGCTCAGATTTGATTTGTTGTCAGTATAAAGCAGAGGCGTCCTCTGTGTCCTCGCTGCACATCACTCCTCCCCCCCTGGGCCGGTGTCATAAAATGAGAATACGCATCTATCCACTTGGTTAAATAAAGATAAAAATAAAAAGCCACAATGCATCCGTCAGGAACATGCCTCCTGTGTGATGCCTACATGTAAGGAAAGAATTCATGCTGATAGTGTCCTACCTGGAGGGCAGAGCGCTGCACAGCCCATGTCTGTCTGTCTCCGTCCCCCAGTCTCAAGCATCCTCTCCTGGCTACCAGGACCAGCTCTCTCCCCTGCAGCTCATCCTCCACAGGCTGAGCTCACAGGTCTCTAATATAACACCAGACCCCGATGTGAACTCTATATTTGCTCTGCTTTCACAGAGGAACAATTGCCTTTCCTGTTATATGTGATATATTTTCTGTTTGCACTGTATCCACGCTGCACACAGTTGGTGTCCGTCTGTATGCCATGCGCAGCCCTCGCTAATGCTCTCAAACCTTCTGACCTTGTCCTGTTTCTCTTCAAACCATCTCGTCTCCATCCTACAGTTTTTCTTTCTCATCCTTTTTCCATCCTGTGGTTACTCCTGTTCAAGCCGGTGCCCACTCTCCCCCCGGCACACGCTGTGACTGCCATAAACGTCACAGGGACTTAAATTTAATCAATGATCAACACAAGAGCGAACAGCCCGCGTTTTCCATCAAATCATGGAACACACTGCAGACATCCTACACACAGCACCCCTGTGTGTGTGTGTGTGTTGAACACAAGCCAGCACGAATATAATGTGATGTGCATGCAAGTCTTGCAGACAAAGGCAACATAAAATGGGGCTCAGCTGTGCAACAGTATCCTGAATGACACAAAGTAATCATCCAATTGAAAGAGACCTTTCTCATTTGATGATAAAACTTGGCCTTTAACAATGAATGTCAGGCTCTCTGAAGGCTACTGTATTTCCAAAGACAACCTGCATGGCTGTAAACTGAACTGGGCATTTAAAAAGAGGCTTCTTGGGTATTCACATTTATAGCACCTTCTTGGTAGTTAAAGTCCAACATAACAAGGTTTATAACTAATGTGAAGGAAAGCGAGGCAGTGTCCATGAGCAAGACAGTGAATCCCTACAAACTCCAGAGCGACCTCTGACCCTGCAGCTTTATCCCGTTACTACGCATGTTCCCACACAGGATCTGTGAAAGCAGGAGGGTGTTGGTGGAGCCTGTTGCGGGCCTGTGTTTACTCGTGCTTCATTCCTCACGTATTACAGTAGTTGCGGATTCAATACCTTACATGGATACAGACACAGCCCGCCGCCATGAAAACTCACACAAACACGTTGTAGTTTGTGTCGTCTATGCGATAAGTAAGTATAACGTTAAAGCAGTGATATGTGGGTGCGTAGTAGGGTTGAACTTGTGGGGATTAATTTATTCCTACACTGCAAGACTCACTGCGGTCGGTTATACGATGTGTTATAACGTTAACTCAATCATTTCATCTTCACTTCTGAAAACAATATAGTAGAACGAGCAGACTGTGGTCCTGCTGGTTCTCGTCTCGTTATTTTGCTAGCTGTTTACCTTCTTTAGCCTTTTTCCTTCTTGCCAAAGTTCCACCAAGTTTTCCCAGGAAAGAGTCATCTTTCTTTCTGGAAGACGGGGATTTGGGCGTCGGAGATTTCGGAGAGGACGGGGACTTCTGAGGCGAAGAAGCCATCGCGGTAACGATAGTCCGGGATAGTTAACACCAAACTGTCCGAGTTGACGTGGAAATGAAAGTTGGTTAGGAAGTAAAGTAAAAGGAGGGGGGGGGGGGGGGAGAAATCACCGTCCACTCCCTAAAGCGGAAACGGAATTCCAGACATTTTCTCCCGAAGTTGGCAGGCGTGAGTGGCCCCTCCTCTCAGGAGGACGGCTGGGAGAGGAGGGGGAGGCTGCTGACCGCGGGAGTGGGAGGTCCTCGGGGGTCAGGTTCACAGCTGCTGGCCGAGGGGCAGCAGGAGGAGCGGGGGGTGTCAAGCACTTAAAATAACTAAAATATATATACCACAAGAGGACGTGCTTCGCAAAGGGTTTGGACAAAGCACTTATTTTCTCTGTTACTTTATTTTACTGCTCTCAATTTTTTATTTGTCGGCGTATATTAGAATACCTCTTCATACATCTATCTATCTCTCTCTCTCTATCCAGCCACACACACGTCCAAAATTTAAACAAGCAAATTAAAAAATCTGAGATGGTCTACTGTTAATGAGATGCTCATGTTTCAATAGGTAAGAGGAACAACCCTAACCACTCTCTAAATAAAAATATGTAACCACCAGTACTCACAATTTTACAGTACATTTTTATTGAAGATATTTTCCATTTAAACTTGAAGTGGCATAAAACCAAAACATATAGAAACATAACACAATTTACAGTTTTTATCATGAAAACATAACTTATTCTGAATTTAGTGTTTGTTAATTTACAACATACACGAACATAACATATAAAGCTCAGGGACCAAATGAGTGTGTGGGTCCTTGACCTGGGATTAAAACTCATGTAAACACATTATTCATTTTCTCATGAGGGAGGTAAGCCTGTCATTTTCACTCACAGCCCATACACTAGGTTAAAACCAAAATGACACAATCACAGTTCAGCTGGCAGCAGTCAGAGGGGAAATCCTCTCTGAAATAGAAAGAGCAGATAACTTTGGAGGGATGCAACTCTGGCCATGACCCCATCAGTGACATCACAGCAGGTGGTTGGTTTTAATGGCTAATGGAAGACAAGGGCTATGACATCACTGACAGTGGTGTGGCCAGATGTGCAACTTGCATGAATGTTTCGACCTGTGATTCAGTCTTCAGCTACCTTGCAGAGGTACATCTTCCCAGCTGACTACAAATATGCAACAGTTCTCCTATGCGGATTGGTGTCTGGGTGTAAATACAATTTAATTTTGTTTGACAGTGTTCCAGCACAAAGTGAAAAAATATAGTAAAATAGATAAGAGAGCTTACACTCACACACATAGCTACAAGGTGACTAACAGTGAATTCCATAAAGCTCGTCTCTGACATTTAATGACACATTTAAAACAAATCACGCTGTGCAGAACAATAAAACTTCAGGGAAGGTGTTGCATCGTTCCATGTGTTCTCCAGTGAGGCTACACTCTGTTTCAGTAGGGACAAATCTGTCACACGGCAAGCAACCACATAAAGCAGTTGATTAGGCAGTCAGTCCAATTATTATAAGTGGTTAAGCATATTGCACATCCAGTTTCAGGTCAGTGTTAGCCCGGGCCATGACAGACTGACAGCACAGAGGTCAAATAACCTTAATGGCAGAGACATTATTACCCCTCATGGCTGTGAGGGAAGTCATTATCTCAGCATCCATTTCCACTCTTCCTCAATCTCTAAACTCAGCATTCCAGCATAAACTGAGACTAGATTAATCCTGGCTGTCTTCTTTAGGGTGAATAAACACCTAGACTTTCATGACATCTCCATCCGCCACATTTTCTAGATTTATATCTTGATGAAAATAAGCCGGGCACAAAATATTATGATAAAATGTCACTCTTTGTTTTTAAATAGCGCCTTACAGTTCTTTTCTACCCTGTACTAATCATCCTGCTCTTAACCACTGAGGTGCTCAACATTCAGCTTTCACTCCAGCTTCTCCTGCGCCCAGCTGTCATCTGCCTGGTTCCAATGAAACTCGTAGCCCTTGGTGAGCAAGAGGCTCTCCAGGTCCTTGTCCTCAGCCCTCTCCTTCAGCCTCTGCTCCTCCAGTATAGAGACCAACATGTCTCGCTTCTCCACTGTCCTCATGATCTCTGACAGGACCTCCTGCTCCTCCTGCAGCTCAGAGGCACTCTTCTTTGTATCTGGAGTGATGTGGAAGAGAGCAGAGGAAGGTGGGAAGAGGTTTGTGAACTATTATGTCTGACTTTCAGATTGTGCATTTGTGTGCGTATGTTTAACCCTTACCTTCTACTGCCATCCTGCACCGCAGATCTTGCTGCAGTCGGCTCTGTGTGTCCTGCAGTTCAAGTTCCTGAGCACTAAGAGAGAGGAGAAATGGGTGACTTCAGCTGGTGAGAAATATGAATTGTTGCAATATTAACGTAATGTTTTCCCCTTCAAATCTTTAACCCGTGTGTGATCTGACACAGTCACTTACAAGATCATGAGCTCGGACTCATAGCGAGCCAATCTGTTGTTCTCCAGAACGAGTTTAAACCAGGACTGATAGAGCTGGCCCTCGTCACTGTCATCAGTCTGAGATGATTCTGGGAGAGGAAAAGAGAGGAAGCAAAGAGGGAACAAAGGAAGGAAGGTAGGAGAGAAGAATGAAGGAAGTAGGATAGAGGGTATAGAGCTGTAGAGGCTTTTAACCTGGCAACACTTTTTTTTCTAAATGCTCTGAGAAGTATGGGCACAGGAGTTAAAACAAGATGAAGAATGAGGCTTTCAGTGGATTTCCATTGAGCCGAGTTGTAATGGTTCAGGATTCTGTCTTTAAAAGTAGCTTTGTAATGTCTTTTACAGGTTGAAGGACTTTTGTAGGACACTGGTCTTTGTGTGTTGTTCAGTACCTGTTTCTCCTCTTATGATCTTTTCTATAGCCACTCCTCTCTCTTCTAGGTCTCTCTGTTTCTCAGCGACCTCCTCCAGTTGTCTTTGGATGGCCTGAGCGATGCAAAAGTGGGACATTATGTGACACACGATGAAAGGAGATGATTATTTCTGCCTCCACCATGCATGTGATCTCTCTCTCTCTCTCTCTCTCTCTCTCTCTCTCTCTCTCTCTCTCTCTCTTACTCTGGATATTCCAGAGAACACAAGGTCAACTATTCTTATAGGCCCCATTACTTTGGTAGAAAGTAATTACAATAAAAGAGTAACATACAATATCCCATTCATCTTCACTGGATTGGGGTCATGGTAAAAATCTCAGAGACAGATATCACAGAAACAGAAAACTGCCGAAAACTACCTGCATGGTTTGATTATAATATTATTATTAATATCTGTATTCACTTTGTTGCCGAGAGTTAGATGAAACGATCGATACCCCCTCTGCCATGTAGGTAAAGACTGGAAACAGGGGGAAACAGCTAGCCTGGCTCTGTCCAAAGATAAGAAAAATCTCTTACCAGCACCTCTACAGCTCACTGATTAACACCTTCTAAGTGAGCTTCTCCTCCTTCCAGTCTTAAGCTAAGCTAAACGTCACCTGGCTCTAGCCAGTCTGTACAGACATGAGAGCGGTATCAAACTTCTCATCTCCTCATAGCCTGACCAATCTTGGATTTTTGAGGCTTCTACTGATATTGGTATGTGGGAGTGACAATTGAGAATCCAATGAGGATATGTAGGCCAATAATATAAACACACAACCTAAACAAACATTATGGATATTGATTTGCTTTTGTAAAAAATTGTGACCATAATATATTTTTTACTTTTTGCAGCCTAAAGAAGAAATTTAGACTGGTGCCTAGTGCAACTTTAATGTACACATCACATCACCCCCTACAGGGGACAGGATCAGAATCCAACATAAAGGTTAAGAACAGTGGGCCTAATGTGTGAGTTTGAAAACTCAATATTGAGTTTGAAAATCAGCAACTCCACAGACAAGACACACCAATCCAACCCTTTTACCCTAATTTCTCTGCTGACGTTGTCTAAAATGACAGGCTTTCCTTTATTGTGCTCTGAAAGATGGACTTCATAAAGCTCTTCTTTTTACTCATGGATGCCATTTTCATAAATGAACACTTCCTGACATATGGTACAGTATTATATTATAGGTATTATAGGGCCATTAATCATGCTAATTTACAATTCTTATGAATGCACATTTAATCTGACGTGACATGCTCGTACGAGCCCAACGTACAAAAATTAAGAGAAAGTTAGGAAAAGAATATGAAAATGCTCTTGAGCCCCAATGACACCACTCTGTTAAATCTGAACAACCCATAATAAGTACATTTTCAGTGCAGTGATACTGAGTTGTACTATACCAAACACAGTGGATCTCTTCAGTCAGTGGGAGCAGTATACCTTTGCACCAGAGCATCAGGTAAATGTTGACAAATCTATCATGATCTGTGGAAGCACTTCAGTCGGACAGAAAGTGGGGATTTCACTTTTTTTGTCCACTAAGAGATGCATTGTACTGAGGCATCTCTCCGAACCATTCAATTCATATTTTTCACGTGACGTCACATTCGAAAGAAAACGCTCCCATAGAGGGCAAAGAAGACGTTATCTTCCGCTGCCTGCCAACAGGGAAGCAAGTGATACACTGTTACTCTGATTTTGTTACTTTTGCGTTGCCAAAATGCTGGATGGTTGTTGTGCTTTCGGATGCACTAATCAAGGAGGAGACAGGCCTGGGCTGTGTTAGGTGAGGTACCGCAGGGACCTGGCGGTTTTTAACGATAGAAATGTGGCAGCGGATGCTGTAAGCTTATATGGATCGGAAGTGCCCAACACTTGCAGTTTGTCTGCACCTCTTTCTTTTTCTTAAGTTGAGAGGTGATCCAAATAAAATTTACCTGCTTTTGTCTCTACGGGGGAGTCGCGGTGTGAGACGCTATGTTGATCTGTTGTTTTGCCCTCCAGGTCACCGCGCATGTCACGTGACTGAAAACTATGAATTAAAAATGAGTGACTCTAAAAGGAAAGTAAATAGTACCTGAGCTCTGTGAAGCCTCTTCAGCTCTTCTCTTTTAGCCTGCTGGGCCACCGTCTTCTCCTGCCTCCTCCTCTGTCTCTCTGTACATAGCTGTGACAGGAAGTACGGAACTTTTCAGAAAATGTGCACAATTGCCAATACAGTATCCATTAAACTTCCCTGCATTGTGCTGTGGTCTTTCAGTTCATAGAAATGGTCCGTACAAACCTTCTGATTGGATGTCAGGTTCTCATTTTCATCGTCACTAGAGGAAGGCTCTTCCACATTCTGTTGACTAGAGGCTGGGAAAAGAAATAAAAAAATGAGAATTGCCAAGTGACTTGTAATATAAGAAAAGAACATTGGACAAAAATCTTTTTTTGTATTTGACTTCTATGACCCATCAAACCAGTGGTTCCCAGGGGGGGTTGAGATATAAGATATATCTAATGGCCAAAAAATAATTTCTGTTGTAAAATGGTGTTTCTTTGCTTTTTATTTTGAATTATTAGACAGTTTTACCTTTTTAGGCCAATTTAAATGGAACAATTTGAGAAGGAAACGTCACTTTGGTTGAACTCATTACTCAGACATATGCAGCCTGTCACAATGTCCTAAGTAGATATTGCTTCACTTTAACCAGAAGTGAATGTTCTGGCCTTTCCTGTACATACAGCATGTTATAGTTCACCATGTAGCCATTTGAGTCTGCTAAAACAAAAAAGTTTTATTCCCCACTTTGTTGGCTTGTTTATGATTGACTGTTGAAGCCCACTTTTAGCTTTGATGGCCACAGTCAGACAAAGTTTAAATAGTTTTGCTGTCCAAAAAAATAAATAAAATAAAGCTTCAAAAGAACAGCCCCATGTGAGCACAGCTTTGACTCCTGTGGCTACAACTGCTGCAGCCACGCTCGCAAGCCCAGTGATCATGGCGACAATTGTGGGAAGAATTCCACATCTGACAGTAATTCTTCTGAAACGCTGGACAGGGGCGGTCTTATGTGCTGATGCTCAGGGGATGTTGGGAAAGATGGATGAAAGAGCTTCTTCTTCATTACTCCCCATGAACAAACTCTCCAAAACCTCCAGTATCTTTTCCTCAAGACAAATAAAAAGAGCTCAAAATGCACTAGAAAACTACTAAGTACACTACTGTGTATATATACACTAAACTATGCTAAGTTTGTTAAACTACTGACTGAGTATTTCTCTCAACATAACTGACATTCCTATTGACCTGCTTCTCCCCTGGTGCCACCGCGCGATATCAGACTGTTTTGCACCACAGGTAATGTAATGACGTCATCAAACGTGATGACATGAAAGAATGTAGGTTTTTTTTAACAGGATCACACAGATAACTATCCCCTGGAGATAGGATTAAAGTTGCTTTTGTTAACAATGAATCAAATGACAGTTGAAATGAGTTATGAACCCACAGAATTCGTATCCAACTCTGCAGTTCTCCTCAGCTCCACATGCATTTTAGCATCCTTCAGCTAAACCAAAACAATGAGCTTTAGGACGCTGACTTTCAGCTCATTGTTTTGGTTTTTAGGCCCACATATTTTCTGTTTGGGTGATTCTCACTGCTCTTATCAGTGTCCCGTTCAGAATCAGCAAGCGGCTGTTTGTGGACAGAAACATGACTCTAAATAAATGCTAATTTTGCTCTGTGTCTGCTTGCCAGACAGACCATCTAGCAGACCAGCTAGATGCTCTGCTATGGTATAATTAGCATGTGTTCTGTATAGGTGCCAGGTGTTCACTATATATATATATATATATGCTTATTTTGCACAATGTCTGTTGGATAGGTTTGTTGCAATGCCCCCAAGTGGCCAAAACTCTATTAATGCAGATTTAAAGGATTATGTGGCAAAAGGTTGTGACTAACCTTTGTTTCTGAGGTTGGTGAGTATTGTCCTGATTTCCTTTTGCACCTCCTGCTCCTGCCCCTCGCTCTCTGACCCCTGCCTTTTCCTCAGCCTTAGGGATGAGAACAAATTGACCCTTCGGCGGGGAAACGAAGCCATGTTGTCAGAGAACACCCCTCCAGAGTCTCTACGGCCCTTTAGGGACACCTGCTGCAAGAGAGAGGGCAGGTCCCGCCCGGCACCCCACGGATCGCCCCCTACAGACGCCCACTGAGCTTCACGATTGCCTGGCTCTGAACCCACGCTGCTGAAGAGGGAGCTAAAGTTGAAATCTCCTTCTGACATGGGCCTCTGTTTGCGGGATCTGTCACGTTTGTTCCTCCTGGTACAGCGAAAGACAAATCATGATATAAAACAAAAGGTAGGTACATTTAATTTGAATTCAATCCAGAAAAAGCAAAGAAGGCAGTTTAGACCGATAAGACAGGTGGATTTTTACAGAAAAATCTTGCCTACAGAAGCTTTAATGTGGTGCTCAAAATAAACTATGAAAGTTAAGTATTTTCTACAAACATTGTGACTGCAGTGTTGGAGCTGCTGGAGGGATTGGTCACACTAAATGTCCTCCTGAAGGCGTTGGCTATAAGCTGTAAGGCTGACGGGGAAGAGGGAGAGGCTTGGCTTTGGGATGGTTCCCCATCCTGGCCCGAGTCTGTCTGAGGCTTATCTTCTTCTGTCTCTGCTTGTACCTGATAAAACATCAGAGGAAAAATGCGGTCAACATAATGTGGAATTAGCGCCTCTTATCGTGCCCACATCTCTGTGTGGATCTACCACTGTAGAAGGAAGTAGAGCTAAAAATCAGAAATAAAAGTAACGTGCAGGCTAATAATTTCTAGAGCAACTGATATTGCTGCTTAATAAATTACTCCACCTGGTCTTCATGTTGATGTGTGTTTTTGGTGTTGATGTTAATTTCCTCTGGTGTGGCCAGCACGTCCCAGTTCAGAAGCTTCTCTTTCTCAGAAAGAGATAACATCAAGCGTTTCTTTGGGCTGGACACGTTGCAGACTCTCTTTATCGTAGCTGAGGGCTCTTCAGTCTCCTCACTTCCCTCTTGGGGATTCTGGGTGTCTGCTGATGTCTTGGAACTGCTGTCGGAGTTCTGAGACAACAGGAGGCTCATCAACGCACAAAAAGTCTATTGCTATGCACACACAGGGTTATTAAAAATATCTATGCAATGTCAATGAATTCCACAGAAGACATTACTATTACTGTAGTTATATAATTCCAATGATGGGACGGTTCTAAAAGTATCAACTTTATGAGTTCTGTTTCCAATAAATGTAGAATATGTTCTATGTAACATACAGTTTGTTTTTCTGCTGAAGTGATCTCTTCAAAGTCAGACTCAGATTCAGGGACAGTCTCTGGTCCCTCTTTGTCCTGCGGCCAGCTTCTCTGGAAGCGCTTGATGAAGATCAGAGGGAAGGCTGTATGAGGGCAGAAAGCACACTCAGCTGTTTGTGTGAGAGGGATGACATCGAGCTCTCGTCCCAAAGGAAGCTGAACGTATTTACTGTAAGTCGCTTTCAACAAATGCATCATCTTAATTGAAGATGTTCATCGTAGTTGCTTCTAAACACACAGTAACATCAATACTAAACCAACTCTCTTTAAGATATATGAGCACCAACAAAACACAGACCTCTTTCACAGCAGACATTTTGACTTGTCACAGTAGGAAAAACACAGGTGTAAATAATAAAATGAATGATTGCTGAATTCCATGTAGGGTCCCGGCACTTTATGCTGACTCACTGTCATGACTTACTGGGGCACTTATATGCAAGTAACAACTGTGTTTTTTCTATTATGACAGGTTAAAATGTTGCTGTGATAAATGCTTATTGTACAGTTACACCAGTGCAGGTTACACGTGTAACAATAAACTCATAACGGGACCCAAGAACCGTATAAAATAAGTGATGCTGTTTATTGTGCAAATGTGAAAGACAGAAGAGGCATTAAAGAGATTTGCATGAAGAGAAAATGTGTTGTGGTAAATCCAGCTAAAAATCCAGCCACTGTGAAGCATTAATCTTTCTGAGGGAGGTGAGAGCCATTCTGCATTACAGACCAATGCTATGTGACAAACCTACACTGTGTGCACAAATGCCTTGTTACTACACAAAGCAATCGATCACATACACCTGCAACATTTGAAAAAAGACAAAACAAGCCTGAGGCTGCAAAACAAAGTAGATCAATAGGATTTTGAAAAAAAAAACAACAACAAGAAAGTTGTGGGAACACTTTTGGAAATGGCTGCTGTCAGAAAGGACAGTGTTTAAACTCTGCAGAAACCAGTAAACATCTCTAAGACCTCAAGAAAGTTCACACTCTTCGCATGTGTTTAATAGAGAACACTGACCTCTAGTGTTGCATGTGCTGCATTACAACAGTGTGTACACCTGACCTCAGACAGTTAGCACATATCCACAGTGACAGTTACAGATTTAGACTTTTAAAGAAATCTCAAGGAATACACAGCACAAAACCACAGGCTTCAGTTCTCAATCAGACCTAAAGGAAGTTACAATTAAAAACGAGGGAAATCGCACTAAAGATAGGAAAAGCAATGCACAGACAAGTACTCACTCGCTTTGATCTTTCGTTTCCATCGATGATTCTGTTTGGTGTTACCGTGATCTACAGAGATTGGAGACAGAGACCATAATAAACTCACACAGACAGACTTCATTTTTTGGGAGATTGGTCAAATGACACAAGAACAGCACAGAGACCAAATCCTCTACAGTGTGTTCTGAGGAAAGAGCGTTGGCTCTGGTTCTCCACACTTACATACATACAGGTCACATATCAAGTGCTTACAGGTGATTGCCACTTTTTGTTTTAAAGAGATGATAATTCTTATTTTAAAGTGAAACTATAATGTATTCTAGATTCACTACACAAAGCGAAATATTTCAGGCCTTTTATTGTTTTAATCTTGATGATACAGCTTACAACTCAAAAATCCAACTCTCAAAATATTAGATTATGAGAATAAAGAATGAATAATACAGAAATGTCAACCTGAGAAGAGCCTTTAATCTCTCAGTCTGGTTCAGTACACACACAATCCCTGAAACCCTCCACAAGGAGGGTAAGTCACAGCAGGTCATTGCTGAAAGGGGCTGGCTGTTCGCAGAGTGCTGGATCAAAGCATATTCATGGAAAGTTAACTGGACTGCTGAGATACGGATTTTTGATTTCCATGCTGTAAGCCGTAATCATCAAGATTGAAACAAAAAAGGCCTTTATTTGTAATGGATCGAGAATATATGAAAGTGTCACATTTTGAAGTAATTTACAAGAAAGAAATCTTTATCTCTCTAACTTTATGAGATGCACCTGTAAGGTGCAAATATATGAAGCAATGTTAGACACTATAAATCCAAAGCCAAGCAAACGGCTCTGTGAGGCTGTACTTAGCGTTTAGCTTAGAGCTCCGTTGTGCCTCCAACATATCAACAGTTTCAGACTAGTGAGTACATGGCAACGCAGCTGCTTTAAAAGCTAAGACTGTTGAGTTCCCAGCCTCTGCTGCTAATATAAAATAACAAGCACTCAGCTAAGTGTGGGAGAAAACCTTCAGTATGTAAGCCACACCCTGATGTCCCGGACATTACCGGGGGGAGGAACTCCAACACACACACACGGGTCACTAATTAAAGTTCAGCCAGTTGAAGATTCTCCCACTGGGAATATCGTATTATAAAGTAATAACAGTGGCTGAAAACCCATCTGTGCAGCACAGTATTTTTGTATAAGCTTTGAGAGACAGAATAACTTCCTTTAGGTCAGTCAACCAGAAACAGCATTTACCCTGAGCTGCATATTTTGGGAGCCTGAAAATTGGTCTACACTGACCTTTGGTACTGTCGTGGCTTGAGCCCTTGGCCCCTGTAGTATCTTGCGCTGTAGGTTTGACTATGCAGGAAGCATCCAGAGCTTCAACAGCCATCTCTGTGTCTTCAGGGACAGTTTTCTGACCTTTACCAAGCTGCTCTGAATGAAAGCTTGACGCCTCACCTGCAAATAAAAACAGTATGTAGGCTAGTTTTAACTAGATTAGAATTCATGCTAACCTAAGTTGTAGTAAAAATGTACTAGCACATAGCTTATTTCATGCATAATGGCTTACTGGGAGTCTACCGCAGTACAACAGGTTAGCAGTCACTATGTTATCTAAAACAATCAGTGTAGCATGTCAAAGAATGGTACCAAACAAATATATTCCTGTTAGGCAGCAAACAACCTAATATACTTTTCATTCACACTGAAAATAATTACTATATTTTCTGCTTCTGAAAGTGACACATGCTCTTTAAAAGTGTACTCCACAGCTAAATACTCTATTTGCCACACAAGCACTGATAAAATACATGACATGTTCATAACAGTACTCACAGAGTAATGAAGTCAACATTGTACAGAGGTGATTCCACTTGGTCACAGCAAAGAAATGAAAATATCTTGATACAACCTTTGTATGCAGAGTGCGTATCAGATAACAGAAAAAACAGATCTTTTATTAATGTTTCACTAACGTTCTCACTTGGGTTAGGCTAAATGTTTATCAGAGGACAGAATATCCACAGGAGCATAAAACTTCACCAAATGATACATGGACATGAACCCAGAGGAAAGGAAAGAACAGACCCACCAGGGGAACCCATGAGGAAGCTGACAGGAGGAACTGACAAGTGATTCACTTCAATTCTGTTCAGGTTGATGGGAGTGCAGCTCAGTTAGGTTCAATTTAACTTCGCTCATCTGTATTTGATTATAGCCATTTCCCATGTTACATTAAAATGATGATTGTCTTTTATCGCAGCAGACGCTTTTCAAGCCCTCTGATTAAGGGGAAGCTGTTTAGCCCCACTGCCGTGTGCCTCCCTTTGAATCCGCTGCACACCTACAAGGTTGTCCAGCTTTTCATCAGATGTTACAAAGCACGTGTTATTTGTTAACAAAAGCTGTGATTATGAACATGATTTGTGTGGGTGATGTTACGTCGACTTAGCAAACAGGAGGGAAGAGGGTTTGCTCTGACAGACGCCTTTCGATGAAGTTGTTAATTTTGTGGTTAAAAGATACAGAAATATCTTTCAATTAGACCATTACATTACGTTACCCCAAATGCCAGCTGCTCACTCATGTCTAAGCTTCGATTTCTTGGAATTATTCGAAGAACGCAATTCAACTAATTGGCAAGAAACAACGAAGCAAATTATGTATGTAATCAAACCGATTTATTTTTGAATATATTTACAGCTTATAAATAGCATAAATTAAGCACTTTTACAGTAATTATTAATGTGGAAAACAAATAACAAGGCTTGCAGGCTGCTTCAAGGCTTATTATAAACACAACTACGAAACATACAAAATACAGCCAACAAAATGTATCTGGCAGTGTGCAAAAAGCTGCTATGGGGCTGCTGATCTCCTGAGCAAAGTCTAGGAGGAGCATGACAGAGATCTGGAGAGGGGCTCTGAGCGGGGAGGGGCTCCTTCTGAAACAGAGGGAACCACAGACAGACCACAGACATGTGGACACATTTGTTACTGTCAAACGAGCCTGACAAGAAGGGAGGCTGCTGCTGATGATGCATCAGAGAGAAAAAATAATAATTCAGGGGCATTCAGATGGACGTTTGGTGTTAGAGAGGAACACAGCACAACACGAGTGTTAGTGGGGTTAGCTCTGATGATATGACACCATACTAACACGACGACTAAGAAACAAACAAACCAACTAAAAAGGTGCTATGTTTGCATTAATGAACCATTACAACCAAAATCCCATGAAAAGACCTAAAAAGCAACGAATCTTCTGAATATATAATATTTACCAAGATCACCATCTTAGTTTAGTCTGTTAGCATGCTAACCTTTGCTAATTGGATGGAAACGTCCTTACTTTTGGAGTCAAAGTATTTTGAGCTGATGATGGTGCAAAACAAAAAGAAAATCCTAATGACTTAATTCACTCAAATTCACCAGGATGCACCATTTGGGGAGCATGAATGTGTGTGCGAGGTTTCCCACAGTTGTTGAGACATTTTACTCAAAACCTCCTATGTGAACCTCATAGAGGGACTTAGGGAAAAAAAATCAGGGGATCACGTAAGCCAATAGGATTGACGATGGGGTAACCATGATTATTTCACTTAAGAAGTGAAATGTTTGTCTTGCTGGCAGTGACAGACAAAAAGTCAGGGGATCAACAGTCTGCAGGCTTCATCCTCTGGGAACCTTAAATATCTGAGTAAAATATCAATCCGTCCAATAGTTGCTGAGATATCTGAATGTGGACCAAAGTAGCGGACCAACTCTCTGACAACATCCCGAGAGCCACACAGTAGTAGGTAATTTTGGGAAGTATCGAGAAAAAGACTAACATTGCTGGTTTTGGTCTTTTTGTGGACTTTGTCGCCAGCTGCTTCCTTTAAAGGGCATATTGGCTTATTTTTGAGATACGCTAGAATAAAAAGTGTAAGTGGCATTCAGAGGTGACCAAATGTGGTTAACACGATGCAACTGGTTTATTGTCATTTAACCAAGGTATAATATTTCATTTGGAATTCTATACGTCAAACCTCGATGCTACACATAACACCTTCAGCAACTTCGGCATGGTTAATCTGGGTTAGGTGGAAAAGGTGCGGAGCAACAGAAGCAGCCAATGCAAAAGCAAAAAGTCTTATGGCCAAAGCCGGCCAATTGTCACCTTCCCCGCTGGCAGGAATCAGCCAATCAGAGGGTGCAGCATTGGAAACTTGAAACAGACTGAACAAAATGAAGTGAACAAAACAGAGAAAAATAAATTTGAAGAATAAAAAGAAAATTCATGGAGATGTGGGGGAAAAGGAAAATGGAAGATGAAGAAATGAAGAAAACAGTGCTGAAAATTACAAGGAAACGTACTGTTAACAATAAAGTTACTACAATAAGATTGTAAACTGAAGTTTGAGAAGTACCAAAATACAGGTCATTGCTTCAACAGTGCATTTTAAGAATTAACCCCTAATTCTGCACAGTTACACCAAAGATCAGAACTAAACTCAGGCATGATTTACAACATAGAATTTGCGGCATAGAAAATTATCAAAATGACAAAAGAATTGCAAAACCTAAAAACAAAGTGAAATATTTTCACAGAGTCATGAGTCTTTTATGGATTCTACTTTTTAGGCAAATATGTCCACTACTGAGGAATAAACGAGAAAGAAAAACAGCCTGCAAGGATTATAGATGAGGCTCACTGTTTTTGGCTTTTATTTTATTAAATTTTTTTTTTTTTTTTTTTTTTTTTTTTTTTTTTTAAAATGGTACAGATCAGTCTAAACTGAATTTCAAATCGATTTTAGAACCAAATGCTCCAAAAGACTTTTCAGTCAATATTTGCAGACCGGTTACCAGTCCTCTTGTGATGAGCAGATGCCAAAACATCTTCCAGTAAACACAATGGTTAAACATTTACTTCACACATCCAAATTTTTATCACTTCCTTTTCACCCAATTTTTTTTTTTTTAAATCATTTTCAAATATTCAAGATAAATTGCCATATTTTTTTTGGGTGGGTGGGTGGGGGGGCAATAAAAACCATGAATAACGAGCCTTAAATATAGAAAGTGGAATAAATCTTGAAATCTTTATCAAAATACATAAAGTGAAAAAATAACACAAAAAAAAGTCAGTCATTTCAATGACATTCCTGAAATTATATTAAAAAATAATAATACTGTTGTGGCATTTCCATTGCACATCTCTGTCGTGCAGAGTTAAAGTGCAGCAGGCAATATGCAGAGTCAGTGTAATGTCAAAAAACGACGTGAGTTACTTTGACGTAATTCTAGTTCACTGAAATGAAATCACACTGTCCAGATGACTTTCAAGGTTACAGTCAGAGGGCATGTTCCAGGTTCCTCTACTGCAATTAAATCTCCTTGGTACATTATCAAAACATATTATTTCAGATGCGTCAGAGCCTGTCTGTAATGCAGGATGAGAAGGGTTTGACATTTTGTGAAAATCTAATCGGCTGTTCTTCGCCAGAGTCAAATGACTGGAAGCGATTTCATGTGTTGGAATAGGAACTTCACAAACTGACCAGCAAGACTGAACGGACTGTCACATATTATCTGGTGACAGCTGTGCGAAGTAAATGTGATAATTAGCTTATTATTATTATTATTTAGGTGATGCTTACAGTTTCAGCAGCCTGGAACAAGCCCATGTGAGTCAGAGATGCATTCAGCACAGTACAACACCAGGAGACCAGGTGATGACCAGGTGATTGCGCAAAAGTTGCTTAATAAAAAAATTTTGACTTCAAAAACAAAACTATAATGACCATGGACCAATACAGGAAATACAAATATTTGGTTTTAAAATGATCACACGTATGAACCTGATTCATCCATTTTGGGCAGTACACAAAATTAAATCCATCTGGGTTCCTATCAGGTCAAATGGCCCAGACAAGCCTCTCGCTACTCCCCTTCCTATGCGAACTGGTGGCCGATGAGCTGCTGCTGGGCCAGCTGGGGCTCCTGGTAGATCTGTCCCAGCACCTCGTGCATCATGCAGAGCAGAGGACAGCCCAGGCTCAGCAGCTCATACAGGAACACATAGTCATGCGAGTAGTTGCTGACGTGGGACCTCGCAGCTGTGAAAGACTCACACACACTTCCCAACAACCATCGAGGCAATACACACACAGAGCGACTAGCACGCCTAGGCCAACTCAGGCCTCGCCTAAGCAAGGAAACCAGGGTACCTGGGGGTTGGATCTGGACGCTGCTCGTGGCTGAGTAGTTTCCACCATTCAGCGACGTGGGTGTGACATGGCTCTGGTCTTCCTACACAATCAAGGGACACAGAAGTTTATGTTGCATTTCATCAGTTTCCTCCTATTCCACATCAAAAGAACAAGTGAATTAATTTAGTTGTGAACTAAAAGACAAATTAAGCCATGTCAAAACTGAGTAATTAAAGGGTGTTAGATATTTTTCAACCTGGGTCCTATTTTCCCATGGGTTTGTGTCTGTGACTAACTGGGACAACAAACAGGACTGTAACGTAATCATTACAGGCATTATACCCCATCGAAGTACGTCCACTAAAGTTTTTGTTTTTGTCACTGACAGGCTCACATTGTTATTATAGGTTTCTGACAACATTGTGGGAATGATCCCTACAGAGGGAGACATTTTTAGTGTGAGAGCTGTATTTTGTTGTTGTCGCTCTTTATTATTTATATAAATGTTTTTTGGCACCTATCTTCTCCTGTACCATTTGTCCCACAACTTCAAAATGTACATCTTCTTCATGAGAGGTGTGCTACGTTTGTTGCAGATATCTGATGGTTCATTTTATATTAATATTTTTACGCATTTCAAAATGAATTTGTTTCAATGAGAGAAAGAGACGCATATTTCTTCCAACCTACTCAACGTTAAGAGCTTACTGTTCCAGCACATGTGCAACTACATACTATTTGAGCTTTAAACTGCAGAAATGATGGTGATCTTTCCAAGAAATGTTTTGTAACTCCCTTTTGCTATCTAAAAACGGGTTCTAAAATTTTTTTATGGCAAATGTACTTTTCTACTAACAAAAGATCAAATTGTGCAGTTTGTGATAGCGCTCCTTCAATGGCTCATTTGGTAGTGTGTTGGATTTAAAACCAGCTTTCTGTGTCTTCATGTTATTTTGCAATAGTGCACAAGACATCACAGAAAATATATTAGCAAGCAAGACAGTGCCGTGGCAGGCATTTGTGGTCATCGATTGACCTCTGTTGGTGCTTTGAAGGCATTACATGTTATGTTAGCATACAAGATGAAAGGAAAATGTTAATAACATTGGTTAAGGTTTTGCCCTTCAGATCCAAAGATTGACAGATCAAATCCTGTTCACGGCATTTTAACCAGAGGATTTTAAAAAGCACATATAGACAGTTGTATGGTGTTTGAACTTAATGCTGCCAAAAAATGTTAATGTTCCCACTGACTTGCAGTGGTTGTTTTTAAATTTTCTATATTGTTTGTCTATTGAAATGCAATCACTGTTTACATGGAATAAGTCTTTCATAAGATTAGTCACTGTCAGTGGCAAAAATCCATGCTTCACCATGACACAGGAAGTTGTGGTAATGTCACTGTACATGCTCAAATCTGTAAAACATTTGACATCGATTTGATTAGTCCCGCCTCGAAAACTTGTATGTGCCCGAAATTCACACAGTTATAGCATCACCTACTGGCAACAGGAAGTGACCTTCAATAAAGCAGCCCCTGCGGCACGTTTCACCTACATGTACAAAATTTCTGTGGCACATGTATCATGTCCAGATGCACAAAAAAGCCTCTTGAAACCCAACAGAAATTTGTCCATCTTCGATTTAATGGTCATTTTTGGTGATGTACAGGCTCCGTACTTTAACAAACTTCCGCTAGAGAATTAGTTTGATTGTATAGTCTAGTCTAGATCCATTGATGATTAAAAGTTGTACAATCTGTGTGTTTTCGTCAAACAGCGTGCCCTTGGCGTTGAAAATCAATGAGTCGCCATGAAATAGGAAGTTGTTGTTACTTTAGTGTACAAGCTCACATCTGCACCAAACTTTACATGATTAATAGGAGTCCTGCCCTGAACACATCCACAAGCTTATTCACTCATAGTCATAGTGCCACCTAATGGCAACAGGGAGTGACTACTTCTACCGTGTTATGAACCACTTATTGCAGGTTGGCCATATCTAGTTCAAAACTATGTCAGAAAAAACACATTTATGATGTCATGTTGTTCCTTCAACTGTGATCTGTGGCATTGCGGCAAAGTACCATGCTGCTCCATGAAACAGGAAGTTGTTATAACTTTGCTGCACATTCTCAAATCATCCACCCATCTATCCATCGTCAACCGCTTATCCTGCGTACAGGGTCGTGGGGGGCTGGAGCCAATCCCAGCTTACATCGGGCAAAAGGCGGTGTACACCCTGGACAGGTTGCCAGTATTCTCAAATCGGTACCAAACTTTTTGTGATTAATATGTCAATATACAGTTATGCGATCTAAATAACATTTTCTCAATGTGTTCCACACTTGATGTACTGGGACATAATGTATAGTTTCTGGGTGCTCATTTACGCCGCTTAGGGGACACAGGATGTATTTCGTGCAGCGTCCAATGTGCGTGACAATTCAGTGCCGCATAGGGAGAGCAGCAGCATCTGCAGCGTGGACGCAACACCATCTGACGCGCTGAAGGTTTAATATTTTAACTGAATTAGTCAGTTAGTCATTCTTTTACCTGTAGGTGGCACTAAAGAATTGGAAAAATTACTGATGGAGCAGCACTTTGCTGGGACAGCGGTAGCAGCCACAGCTAACAGCTCTCACATACATTTTAAGTGCGTTTTCTAGTTAGCTTTATTGCTTGTAACTTGCAACTACTGTGAACTGTGTTCCCTACCATTCTCCTTCTGAGCCTCCCCACATGATTGCTGGACTGGCGCTGAGCATAATGCATCTTGCAGTAGAATTTCGCTGTAAAAGAAGCACACACAAATCCACTCAGCTTAGAGTCCAGTACAATACAAATCTCCTGAATAATATACATAGACACAAAACAACAATTCCGCAATTAGAATTGTTCATCAAAACCTCTGAAAAACTAAAAAGAGACATCTAAACAATAATAACACCATGGCTAAAAGGACAAAATTTAGGTTTCTAGTGTTTCAGTGGACAAAGATATTTAACTACATCTGCAGAACAAAAACGCTTCACCTATACGTTTTAAAGACACTCCTGGGTAAAAGCATTCAAATTTACAGTGAATCAAACGTACCCTCCTGCGAGTCGAAGGCATGCCCTCCCAGACGGAGGGTGCAGTTACAGACATCACAGCGGAAACACTCGCGGTGGAAGAAGTAGCCCTCAGTGCTCAGTCTCTCCATTACGTACACCCTCTTGGTGCAGAAGTGGCAGATGTCACTGCCGCCGAAGTCCTTCCGCATCACACACTGAAGGAAGAAGAGCAGGACAATATGTGTTACATGCTGCGTTTGAGACAAGTTATTTTTTTGAGTTGTTGATTATTTCCTACAGATGCCTGCAAAAAAAGTACACAAAACAAACTAGTCTCATGGACCAGCGGTGAGATGGTAAACTGTTAAGGACATTTGCACTCACAGAAAATGATGGACATAATAACCATATAATCAGTGCTTCATGTTTATCATACAGATGTGAAAGAAAGCAAGAGAGTGTATTTCCCAGAATGTGGACCTGTTACTTTAAGACACAAGTCTTGAGTCAACTCACCAGTAACAATGTCAAGTCAACTCTCAAGTGAAATGTAGAAAATCAAGCAAATAAACTAACAATTGTGTGTGCAAAATAAAGCTCAATATCTCAAACATGCAATTTCAGTAGCTGCCTGTTTACTTTTTTACTAAGTTACATTAAGTCCACTTTTCAGGTTATCAACATCCAATGTCAAGACTCACATCATTAGAACCCAGCAGACGTGTCAAAGTGTCTTCATAAAGCAAGTCAAATAAGTAGTAGAACTGTGACTTGAGTTCAAATGATGTGACTTCAATTCACACTGCTACCATCAGCAATGTTATGTGAGCATCACGATGATTATTATCTCTTCCAGCTCCCTGTAGCTAAAAAAACTCTTTCAAAGCAGCAGGTAGGTTCTAGGCCAAGCAGTGGTTAAACATGACTTAAAATTATGCATGCAGTTGTACATAAGCTGTTATTTATTGTGCAAATACAGCCAGAAGCTTTATTTCATTTCTCTGTGGTGTGAAATCATCTAACACTGGTGCAAACACACTAGATGCTCTGTCCTCATGAAGACAAAGCAGAACCTATTTACCCCTTCAGCCTTAGAAGCCCGCCGTGGCCAGGGAACTAGAGCCTAAAAAAGGCAGATTATCTGTTGTCAAAAGTGGGAGCAGCATGGAAACAGGAACATTGTTTTTTTTGTCCACCACCCCCCAAAAAAATAAATAAATCACACTCAGCAGCAACATCAGTAGGGAGAGGTGCCAATGCAAAGTCAACATTTAAGCTGTAAGCAAAAATTAAATATAAATAAAGCCCATGAACTCTGTGTTAGATTTGTTTCTGCAACATCCACATGCATCTTACCGGTGTGGCATTGGGCCTGTGGTCTGTCTCATAGAGGACGGCCAGTAGCTGAGCTTTAGCATCTATGGCTGAGGATACCTTTCCAACTGTACGCTAACATTAACGCCAGGGAAACACAAGCGCAGAGGGTTGGAGGGGAGACAAAGTAGGAAATGGAAACCACAGACAGGAGTTAGAAAGAAGACAGATGATAAAGCAGAAAAGACAGGATTTTTTATTTAGAATTTATGGATCTGTATTTAGACGGAGGTATCGACTAGTACCTCTTTAACGTAACTAGGAGCTCCAGTCGGACAACTCTCAGAGCGAACAATTGACTTTTGAGTGATTCTTCTAGGGGTCTCAAGAGCGCAGCTCCCGTTGCACTAAATGAACACCAGAATGAACATCAGTTCATAGATAATATGAACACTAAAAGCCAAGAATTTCAAAGAATCCTTGTGTTCTTCCTTCAAATGGGAGCCGGGATTGAACCGCCGACCTCCTGAGCCACAGCCGCACCACCTTCACCTCTATGAATTTTCTAGGTTTGATCTAATGCCACCCTTTCCTCAGAAATACATGAATACAATAAAAATATGAAATCCATGAATTATATTAATGACAAGTTGTAACAGCCATTTACAGCTTATATTTTAGAAACACTACATACCAAAATTGTAACCTGGTTTTACATCCCATTGATTTCAGAATTTAGTTATTTCACTAGCTTTGAAAGAGATCATGAATGAATAACATGAATTTAAATGTATTATTTCATTTATTTCTAAAGATAAGATCTCTTGAGCCTGGTTACACAAAGATAGACTGGTTGGCCAGATAAATGTCTTAATCCATCCATTGCACAAAGCTCTCTACATCTTGACTATGTTAAGAAGGACTAATTTGACATGAATTCTAGGAAAGACTTAGTATAAAGCCAAAAAAAAACGTGGCTGACCGAATAACAGTGTCAAAACTAGAGCCAAGCTGCTGTCACTGTGGCAGCACTCAGTACTTCTGCTAACTCCTCAGTCAGGCTCAAGACAGTTTCCTGGCACATGAAAATGACAGGAGAAGTCTACACTGCTTGATATTTCCAACCGGTTACCAACCTCTTCAAAAACTATTTCTTCATTCTCATTGCTCACTACACAACACTGTTAGCAAACCACAAACTATGAGGTCCGAACAAGGTCTGTATTGGTCATTTGTTGTCTCAGTAATGTTTATTTTGTAGTAAAGTTGGTTCACTTTGTCTCAAAAGAAGATGGATTTTGATTTCTCTTAAAGATTAAAAATATATATATATATATAGCTGCAAAAGTAATTTATGAACACTTTTTTGGAATTTTGGAGTTTTTGAAGTATCTAAAATGATACTAATAAATGTATGTGCTACCTTATGGATTTGGTTTGTTCTGTATAAATTTGCAGTGTCTTGTAAGCCCATGTGGGCTGGGCATGTTGGTATGGACAACTACAAAATGCAATCATCTTAAAATTGGTAGCTCCCCTTTAAAATAGAATTTATCTGGGATTTACTGAGAGTAGAATACTTTCACTGGAGATCTGCAGGTTATTAATACTGGACTAGCAGGGTGTTTTGATATGCGTGAGGGGACGGTTACCTTCATGTGCTCATTTTCAGCTACTTTGTTATCGTCAAATTTCTCCTGAGCAGTTTTGTGGACCGGCTCACTTTCCAGATTATACCGAGACCTCTCATAGTTTTCCCTGTTCAGTAAAGAAACTGGATGGACGGAGGAGCTGCTGGGCCCATTTTCACAGTTACTGTTAGAGAGAGGAGATGAGATCTGCTGACTCTCAAAGCAAGTCGGAGAGAGGGCAGTGGATGTTTTGTTGTTGCATGTGGAGGAATCAACACGAAGTGAAGACATTTGCTCTGGTTTTTCAGAGTCAGTGTAAGACGAGAGAGTAGAGGAGTCTTTCTGTATCTTATCCTTGTGTCCAGCAGTGTAGAGAGCGACAGAGGAGAATCCGGCCTGGGCAGTAGGGTCAGGGACAGGGTGGACTACAGAGTAGACGCTGGAGCTCTTAGATGTAGAGGGAGAAGGAGGAGGAGGTGAGGACAAGGAAGGAAGGGAGGTAGATAGTTCCACCTACAGAAGAAGAGTCAAACAGAAATGAAAGACTGAGCAGAAAAGAAGGTTGAAACTGGAGAGAAAATTACTTGTTTGATTTAAATAAAAAGCAAAATGAATTTCACACTGAAATCAGTGCACTTTTGCTGCAAAAGGGAACTTTTCTACAAAGCAAATCAAAATTAGAATGTGAAGTGTGTTGGTTAACACTGTGAGATTACAAAGTGGACAGAAACACAGTTAAAGGCCCTGAAAACCTATTTTCTCAGCTGTGCACTAGAGTCCTACATGAACACACACTTTTCTAAGTTACAATCGTTATTTCAAATGATGTCATATTTGGTGTGTTCTAAATGCTTTGAAATGGGCGTGGAAAATTTGAAATATACTATATAACATCTGACAAATATTGTGGGGTTAATTGCGCTTACGTTGCCAGGCCACTGTCAATCAAATGTTATTAAACTACACACACTGACGAAGCAGATTAACTCATATATTAATTACTAGTTTAACATTTTAACTGTTGCTTATTCAGCAATGAATACTTACTGTAATGAGGTTTTAGGGACTTTAATACACCACCAACATCATGCAAATTGGCCATTTACAGATGATTAATTTGACATACAACACTGTTAATGTTGACTAGAGATCTTAAACACACTTCAGTCTCAAACACCAATGTCAGCAAATGATATGCAAGAAGCGATTTGGAGTTATTCTATAATGTGGAAGCAAATAATTGCCACAATGATTTAAATCTTAGCATCAGCTAAACTCCTGGCTAATTACTAGGTACTTCTGAAATTTAAACACTACTGAATTTGTAGCACTGAAATATCAAAAAGAATCTTTATTTATATATATATATATATATATATATATATATATATATATATATATATATATATATATATATATATATATATATATATATATATATATATATATATATATATATATATATATATATAAATTTAGGGTTCACATATTCAGGTGCCAATATTCAAAGCCTATATTCAAATTGCTCAAATTCAATAAGCTAATAAAAATGAAAGTCAAGTGAAACTATCCAGTTTGTCAAACTAGCCAGGTCAAATTCACTAGATTTGTGATGTGAAACTCCGATCTGAACAGGACAGCTGCCAAGTGTCCAAAGTAGTTAATCAAATGTTTACACAGTGCAAATCAGCTCATTTTTGGAAGAAAACTTCAAGGTCTCCACCAAAGCATCTCAGCAGCTGCAGCGTGCTATGAAACTGTTCCATTTAGGATCAATCCCATGTTCATTTTCACAGTGTTGCACGCCGTCAGGATGAACATGCAGTAGTTTATGAAATTAGTCAAGCATGAAAAAGTGGTCGGTGCTATACACAACCTGTGAGGCTGAAAGCGGAGATAGAGGAGCAGGAGGAGGTTTGTTGGACCCAGGAAACATGGAGGACAGGAGCACAGCTCTGTCCTTTATACTCCTCCCAGAAAATTCTCTAGTAGACAGCCTCTGGGCTTTACTCTGCACGGACAGCACGCGATTGTGAGAATCGGAGAAGAACACGTTAAAAATGAGTTGGAACCGCATTTTTTTGTAGAAGTGATGAGAAATATTTTAGAAAACGTGCATGAAATTCACCTGCTGCACTGACTTCTCTGACCTCTCAGAGGAATGATCAACATCAGAAGCAGAGAAATGACTGGTTGTGAGGTGAGGAGAGGTGCATTCTGGGTGGTAATGTTCAGGAAAACTAGGGCTTGGTGAGTGGGGACGACTTAATGGACTCTTAGAGCGTGAGGGCGAAGGAGAGCGACTGTACCCGCTCTGAGGACGGGAAGATTTGGAGGAAAGGAAGAAACTGTTTTGAGGAGTCACAACACAGGGATTCTCTAGTAATCGAAGGTAGATGGACGGCTGAGTTGAGGAGCAAGAGGAAATAAGAGAGTATGAGTTTACATTAGTTATGCAAATGCTACCACAAGGATATGTTCTTATTGTAAAGCTTAAATGAAACTCACAGCTCCCTTTCATCGAGGACACATTTCAATCCCTTCAATCACATTCACAACAGAAAGAGCTGAGGAGTGTTCAGAGGCAAAGCATACCTGCCACTTGGGGCGAAGGGGAGGCAGAGGAGGAGGAGGGGGGGTGTCCTTGGGCTTTGCAAAACGGGGGTTTTCTCTCACCTCCTCCTCATCCGCCTCCTCCTCATCCTCCTCCTCCTCTGAGAGGGGAAGTGGGGTGGTGGAAGGAGACAGAGGAGGAGAAAAGGATGGATCGCATGAGTCTCCATCAGACTGATGTGAGGAGGAAAGGAAAAAGGAGAGGAAAGGAAATTCTAAGGAAAGCATCTTAAAGAACCCAAATACATAATTAAATAACAGTAACAGTATAATACAAGTATTGAACAAAGTTTGTAACAGAATATTAGATGACTGAGCGGCCCATTATGGTTGAGGTGCCTAAACATACCAAAACTATGTTAAGATAAGAGGGACCTTTCTAGTGCCAAATATTCTCAGTGTAAATAGTAAAATAAATTAGTTACGCAGCAGAAGGTCATATTATTATTAACATTGCTTTTGTTGGATTCTTGAATATTTATTCATCACAAAGCATCTGGACACATACCTGCACCATACTTATTACTACTTATTACTTGATTAAGGATGTATATTTACATCTACCCTATAGTGACACTTAAGACACTACTGGATACTTTAAATGTAGCTGAATTTATAGTATTCAAATATCTGAAATCCAGTTAATTAGCTGGATTCTTCAACTCTGGCTGAAACAAATCAATGGGCTCTTTTGTTGGTCTGAAAGTTACATGGGTGTCGCAGGCCCTTCTGAAATGGGACAGTATTCAAACTGTCAGTCTCTCACCTTGCTGCCTGTCTTTGCGGTCGAGGAGTTCTCCTCAAACTTGGCCAGCAGCTGAGTTGCCATTGAGCGGACCTTGTTCTCCCGCAGCTCCCCGTCCTCAGCAGCAGGGGGTGCACTGTGACAAGACAACTGATGCCATGCCAGGGACGCAGACGGGAATCATACAGGCCAGAGGGGAGCAAAGAGCAGCAGGGAGAGGGATCAATTTACAGTATCACTCAGAGAAAAGTGTTATTTGTGTTGTTTAGGAAAATGGTTAGAACTGGTGTCAGAAAAATATTGAGGTCCTGTTTTCAAAAAACAATGCAGGTACAAACTAAGGTCGACTACTATCTCAACACAGGTTTTCAACATTGGTGCAGTGGATCATTTAACATTAATTATAGCTAGGAAGTTGTACTTTTTCACTATTTAGAAGTATAACTGGAACATTTTAGATCTCCTGTTACCTCTGTGAGGTAGTGGTTCCCCTTTCGCCGTCTCTTGTTGACAGAATCGTCTTCCAGTTTCTTGTCATCCTGTGGTAGTAAACACCACAATAAAGATTCAATTGCAGAGACATTGAATCATATATACACGTTTCCATCTGGATCGTCCTTCTCGATCGAATGAACAAAGAGCCACTAAAACCGTAATTAGTGTAAAAGTTGTTAGTGTAAACTAATCATGTGGGCAGACATCAAGAATAATCTGTAATCACAGTGCAGCTGATGGCTCTTGTTCATGTTTAGATTACATTACAACAATGCTTTGATCTGTATGGTAGCTTTAGCTTATGACTGGGAGTAGTGTGCTGGTGATGAAAAAAGGATGATAAAAGGCCTTGAGGAGGGCAAGAAGAGATCGACTCTAGTCCTTATTGCAGTGGTTCGTTTCTGTTATGCCAACCATCAGAAGCCAAAAAAGGTTCATGCCACCCCACCACATGTAAACCGATTGAATTCTTAGCAATCATTAACAATATTGGGGGAGCAACAAATAAAAAAGGAGCCAATTTGAGTTTGAAATAGTCAGGTCAGCACACTAGCATCAGTAAACTCATCTTTTTATTTACCTACATAACTCAAATTTTTCCCCCGCTTTTAATTCACACCCCCCTTGAAGTAGCTCTATGCCTACCCAGTTGGGGCCCATCCCACAGTTTGAGAACCACTGCCTTAATGGAAGCATCACATGTATTTCAGTAGACAGTTTTTGGCTTTACCCTGGGTATCCTCTTCCTGGGCTGGGCCTGGTTCAGCAGTCTGTGGTTGGTTTTAGCTAGATATTCTTTACTGTTCTCATCTGGTTCTCTTGAACCTGAAAATAAACACAGTCCCATTAGGTTTACATTAAGATTATTCATTCATCGTCGTCAACATAACAGTTTATTTGCACACAAACAGCCAATTTAGCTGAACTGGATTCCACATGACAAGAGTAGACATAAATAAAGATCAGTACAGTGTGAGGAGGGTTCATCCGTGGACTCTAAATATCAGACGTTCATTAGAAGTTGACCAAAAATAGTCTTTCAGAGGTGTGGATTGCTCCACGGTAACGGCAGCGTAGGAAACACAGATGGCTGCAGGACATTAATATGAAACCACCAGAAGTGAAACGGGGCTGAACTGGAGCTTACAGTGGGGGTGTGACCAGAGCTGAGCCTCCATGGTTACGCGGAGTGATTGGATATGGCTTCCACAGACATAGCACTCATACCAGTCATGTCTCTGGCAGGGACTAACCTGACCGCGGTTGTGTAACGTGCAACTAAAGCTCAGGCAGTGGATAAAACAGTCCCTGAGCTTCAGTTATTTACTGTTAGCTTCTCTGAAATGTCTTACAGTGATTTATATGGATATTTTGTGGTGCTATTCCCTAACAGAGAGGGCAAAAGTACTATTTCCTGTTATGGAAGAAAGGAATTTTCGGTAAGGTATAGTATTACACATTTTTTGGTGGTTAGGGTGAAACTCTGCATCCAACCGTGCACTGCTTAGCTGGCCCACTTCCCCATCTGTTTGTTCTGTATGGCCAGATCCCTTTATCTTACGCTGGAGTGAATTTGTAAACTAATCATTTCCTTTTGTCAAACTGGGGTTGTGAAGTCAGAGAGGGATTGACAATCTGACTTTTATGGTAATTTTGAAGTGTTGATTTTGTTTCCAGTCCTGCAATGTTAGATTAAAAAAATGTAACTTTAAAAAAAAAATAAAAAAACTTTCATTACTTGCCATTTAGCTTTAAACTTTACAGTAGAATTAAATAGCTTTATTTCTTTTCACATTATTTCACTCAATAAAAGGGTATCTGCTTTATGGCTTCGCAGCAGCTAACGAATTTGGTTCATTGACCCCGTTTTGATTCTCAGCGACAGAAGCAAGAAGGAGCCCGACCGTTCTCGTTCCCCGGGGCGTTCCTGAAGGCCTCGTAGAATTTGGAGAGGTAGAGAACCATCAGCAGCTTGTCTGGTTCAGCCTCCGCAGCCATCTCCTTTCCTCTCATCACCGGCTGGATGCCAAACTGTCGCTCAGCCACGTCAAAGGCCAACTGGTTGTTCCCCGCCACGTCCTCCTCGTTCAGAGAGTCATAGTCACTGAGGGAGAACAAAAGTGAGGGGAGGTCAGCGTATATTGTTTCTTAAAACATCTTCCATATTCCAAACGATGGCAGAAGAGAAAGCTGGTGAGGTAAGATCACAGGAGCAAAGAGGACACTGCTTTAGCTTATTTTTATGATCTAGTTGTTTCTGTCTATCATTCAGTAAGTGAAGGAGAAGAGTTAAAGATGAAGGAATACCATGCTGAAGTAAAGAATTATTTCCTACCTAGCCATCTGTACACACAGCACTCAACACAACAGGAAAGACAACGTTAATGTTACCTCATCTTTAGAGAGCTTAACAGAGGAGTTTTAGCTCATTGTTTAGCTGTCTGGCTGCAACTTTACTGTTTTGGTTTCCTCTCACAGTTTCATTTTCAGCTGTAGCAGCCCACTGTACGCTACCTTCTCAGTACCAAATGGCAGACCAACCACGTTAGCAACTAGCTACTGCGACTGCTTTGTTTGGCAGGTAAACGTTGGGACCATGGAGAGAAAACAAAAACAAAACACCAACCGTGCAAACATCATCTCTATACGAGCACAAATCAGACAGTATGTGTGGAATCACAGCTACCTGCTATGACAAGGGTTAAGATGACGTGTACAAAATGATGTCATTCCAACCGACCACTCTGACACTTATTATTTGCTTTCTCAGTTGTGTGCGAGCAGACTGGATCAAGTCGGTGTGGCCTGTATGACAGACTGTTTTGAATTAGATTAATCAGCGTTTGAGTTCACGCCAACCCCTGGATTTTCATTTCATTTGTCAAATAACACGTGACAGAGGACAAGAGTCAAAACAGGAACAGGTCTTCAAATTTACAGAGGATTGCAATGCCTATTAGCAGTCAGCTGATTCAACGGTAGACTCACTCTTTCATGTAGATTTGCTTTTGATACTGTTGATCACAATATTTTGTTAAGTAAGCTGCTTTCTGTGGGTTTTGATGATTTTGCTTACAGCGTGTGCAAGTCATACATCTCTGCAAGAGTTCAAACTGTTGCACCGATGGTTTCAAATCAAGTCCCCAAATTGTTGATAAAGGTTTCCCTCAAGGATCAATATTAAGCCCACTTCTATTTAGATATGAAATAGATAATAAACGGAAAATAAATATTATTTAGTCTGTAAATAAATAGTATTCATTTTCCATCTCAGTATTGTAATGCCCATTTTAATGCTGATGATCCCATCTTGTATGCCGTGGGCCCCACCGCAAACCAGGCCTTCATTAGATTACAGTCCGCTTACGATGAGCTCTAGACCTCCCTGCTAAATTTAAAGCTTGTTTTAAACTCCAAAAAGATAAATGTGTGCGTTTCACAAGAGCGTGAACCATTGATTTTCCCAGTCCGATCCACGCACTAAATTAATCAAATGGATACAGTACAGCATTATAAGTACTTAAAAATATGATTACACAGCAGCTTATCCTGTAAAACTCATGTGGAACATCTTGCTTTGAATTAAAAAAATAAATTGGATTCTTATACCAAAACAGAGTTTGTTCCTCCTTTGAAAAGAGACAAAAACACTATACAACTGGATTATATAGATATCCTGTGTGCTCATGCTGCTGGTACTGAACCTCAACCACTGGATAAAGTCTGCCACAGTGCTATTCTATTCATTGTACATGGCAGACTGTGAGCTATATGAAAACGCTGGGTGGTAATCTAGAAGGCATCAGCATTTTAATTGCTGGTTTGTTGTGTCGTGAACTTGTGTATATACAATGTGTTCAGTAGAAATAGAGCTCAACTACCTACCTAAGTAGGTAATATAATAATTAAAACTAATTAAACTAATATATAAACTAATTAATATAATAATATACTAATTCAGCAGAAAGATTAATGTCATCCAGTTCAGTTCAAAGCGCCAGTCTGGATAAGTGACTGCTCACAAGCCAACAGAAAACAGCTCTGGTCTGAATGACTGTCAACATTTCCACATGTTTCCAGAATGGATTGTGTGAGCTTTGTGTGTGTTCTTACATGAGCTCAGGCCTCTGGCGGTGAATGAGAGCGCAGAGGGCCAGGCCGTTCCTCCAGGAAGATGTGAGGTTGGTGACATCAACCCCCCTGTAGCCCTGAGTCTGCTTCTGACACCAGGTCAGCAGCCGGCCAGGACGCACATCAGACTCTGCAGAAGAGAAATAAAACTTCACCAATAGTGTCACAAATGTCCTGTAAAGCTGGTGTACAGGGAATTTGCTTGTTGACAAACACAACTGACACATGGCACATTAAAACTCTCCATTTGAACACCAGTGACTTGCTGGTTCACTTGAGCCTTATGACTTGACAGACTTGAATCTCCTCCCAAGCCTAAAGCAGAGCAACTTTGGCAGCAAATACACAGACAGAGCAGACATTCAGGCCAGTGCACAAACTGGCCTACTTAGAAGACATGCAGCACTCCCTTTGATGCGCTTTAAAATGCATAACTAATTTCTTGGCAAGATTTCTGTTATATTTCAGGGTTGATGTGAAAAGCGTAAGGAATGGGGGTAAGAGGTAGGGTTACTGAAATCTTGCATGGATAGCTTAGACTAAATATTACAAACACCTCTCAGTATACTGCAGTACATGTCAACAGCACCACAAACTGCATTTGAATTGACGCCTATCTAATACTATAGATAGGTCAGTCAATCAGAACAACAACTTGTTCAAGTGCCCCCCCAAAAAAAATCTTTCAATGCTGCTGTGACTTGCGACTAAATGCTGACTTGTTCTGCTCAGGGAGAAACCGCCTTCATAGAGAAGACAACCGTATCAGCCCTATACTGTTTATCAGTCTAACCCCGCTGATGCAGAGCGTCTGTGAGAGGCATCATGTTTGACCCTCACGTGGGTGTAATGTTATCCAGCTGTATTGTCTGTGACAAGGTGTGTCAGCCTGAGATAAGGCTAAAGTTTCCTCTCAGTAGGGGCTGGGGAAGCATTCATGATGTCAACATTATTTCTCCAGTAATCTGGATGCATTTAATCTCAGCGGTGACTCATAGGATGATCAGATTACAATTACGACATGCAGGGAGCTTTGTTAGTCCCATATGAGTAGTTGGCAGCAATCCCGTCACAACACTCTCTAAAAAGGTATTTGATGTGTCTACAGTCTGTTTTTTATCATAGCAACATGAAGGCTCTATATACACTGTATTTTTTTAAAATATTTTCATGCACGACGGCACAGAATGTGTCAGTTAGTAATCAGGACTAAATTGTGAGTTTGTGTTTGGGACTTTCTGCATCACACCTCTTCTGGACAAGTTCGCTGATCTACTTGTGGGTCCTCCTCTTTCCAGGTGACCCGAGTCCTGTTGGCCATCAATGAACAGGTGACGCACCTAGAAAGAAAGAATTAAATAATATGATTTAAAACTGGATCAGATAACATTTAACACCGTTACAGGGACACTAAGTCATTGCAAGGGCAAACAGTAGGATTTAAAGGATTGGCAGCTGACACAAATCTCCTGGGAGCCAGAACGCATAACCGAAGGTGACAAAATAACAGCTTGAAAAGAGCAATCGTGGCCATATCAAAGTAGCTAGTGTAGCATTAGCTGCTAAAGGCTGCTAGTTAGCAGAGCTAAAGGAATATACTCATTGTTGATTACTCTAAAATGTACAAGCAGTCATTGTTAAGTTTATGTGCAGGGGTACTTGCAGTGTGTTTGTTTGCATGTTTGGCATAAGCATTGACACTTTCCCCAGTCCAAAGATTTCTAACACAAATGCAGGCTAGAAATATTAGCTATTCATAGCTACAATTGCTCTATTGCTGTATCTATCTCACGATGCAGCATTTTTAGCAGAAAGAGATGAAAATTCTGAGCTGGCAGCATGAGATTGAGAATTTGAGAAATATTTGCCTCTTTGAAAACATAATATCCCGGATTCAACATGCACAGTAGTAAAACGGTTATTTATCACTCAAATGAGATTTTAAATCAAATATCACTGTCATTTACAGCAGAAAACCCTTGATTAAAATGTCTCTTAATTCCTTTTCTTTCTTTGATATCTGGTTTCATTCAAATGCATACTGTAACCACTAAGGGCATCTGTGCTTTTCTTCTTATGTAACTGTTGGACTGACCTGGTGTGGGCGTACACAGCTGGAGTTGAGGTTGGGGTAGCGGGTGGCAGGGTCAATGGCGTACTGTTCAAAGTTTTTACTGATGTTTTCTGTGGTGGTTTGAGGGAGCAGCCGGTAGATACTCTCCCTGAGGAACAACAGGGTATAGATATAACTGGCAGATTCAAGATACTGCAGCTTCAAAGATCTGAGAACTACACTGCTACCACTTGATCTGTCTAAGGACAGCAAACACTGAGGCAGGCTGAAAGCACAAAACAAAGTCCTTAAACATTAAATCTACATCACTTAAAGTGCATTTACACTAGACATGTCCAGACTGTTTTTTTTAAACTCATGACTACTGCTATTTTAATTTCTTTACAAGGCTATTCGTATTCATGGGACATGAAACACCCACAGAGAAACCATAGGGTCTCCTTGAAAAGCTGGTATAGTTCATTAGAAGTAGGATCATAAACGAGGATACCAACCTGTAAGCACAGTACAATACGTATAAATGGTTGAAAGCTCCAACTGCAAAGCTTTAGCTACTTTATTGGTAGTTTTAGTGTTAGTTGGTAGTTTTAGTCACAAGGGCATATCCCCTGCAAGATATCCTGCGTGGAAAGTTTACATTTTAGCCTGAGATTGGTGCAAGGAAAATAGAAAGGATCCACCCTCTCATGAATGTGGTGGTTAATGGTAATACAAGTGCAATGTCTGGCCTGACAGTGGAACCACTACAAACATAAGCATTCATCTTCTGAGGAGCAAGAACTACAATGATGAAAATTCACAGCATGTTGGTCATTATATTTGATTTCTTCTGAACGACATGAGTCGACAATTAGCGGTGATGAACGAGATAGAGGAAACTGTCCATATGGTTCATCCTTTGTGGAGCATGAATCTGCTCAGCAAATATCATGGTTATCTGCCTACTTGATAATTAGATAACTATATTTATTGTGTATATTTATTAAGTTAGAATTTTGACATGAAAGTGGAACAAGAATGAATGATCATCCTCTGGGAAACACATACAATAAGCCAATATTTGTGAAGTTATCTTGCTCTGGACAAACCGACTAACTGTCTGGACTGATGCTCTTTTTCCATCTGTATGAAATCCAGAGAAAATAAATTCAAGACTACAGACAAGTCTATCTTGTTTAGCTAAAGTTACAGGAAGTGGAACACAAACCCACCTCTCAGCCAGGATCTCCAGAGGGCTCCTGCCCTGTGTCCAGCCCCTCACCATCCAAGCAGTGTCGAAGGCTGCCAGAAATCCCCGAGCACAACCAGTGCCCATTGGCCAGAAGGGCTGTAAGCAGAGAACATGATGTCAGCGTGAACACACACAAGCTGAGCCTGACTCTGGGCAGAAGCCACAATGTCAAGCGACTCTGACGACTCTCAAATGCTCTCACTGCTACCACACACCTCAAGCAGACTGTCTCCCACCAGTGCGACCAGTAGCTGATGTCCGTGCTTCTCCCTGATCAAGGCGGCGTTCTCTGAGGCGTACATGCTGGTGAAGTCAAACATGGCTACATCCGGCTGCCCGTAGTGGTTGATGGCGTAGTCCAGGGACGGCAGCTGGTAGTTTGTGCCGAAGTCAGCTGCCTCACGGGCGTAGGAGAGCAATGCTTCCTGGTTTACGTTGTCAGGGCTCAGCAGTCGCTCTGTTTCAATGTAGTCCTGTATTAAGACAAGATCACTGTCTATCACTGACATAAAATAAATGATTTAAATCTGCACTGATGAATATTTTTATATAAACAAAAGATCAAATGCTGTGTAACATTAAAGGGGTGACCCGTAGTGACAAACCCACATAGAATTATTACCTGACTCCGCCGTTTCCTACTGAGGGATTCTCTACTAAGCTTTTTAGCCTCTTTTAGCTAATTAATCTGGTTTTATATCCCACAAACTCTGATTTTATCAACCTTGTTTTCAGCAGCAGGCTGGCCGTTTTGAGTTAAAAGGCAGACAAATGGCAGACAGACAATTTAGCGACTAGCTTGTGGGAGTAGCATTCAGATGCTAAAGGGACAGATATTTTCTCCTGTGTCGCAAACCAGTGTTTTGCTAGCACGTTACATGATTTGGTCTTGTCCAAAGATACAAGAAAAAACTAAAAGCTGAATTTGGACTTACTGCTACTCAGGTAAAAAATGTGGAGACTCTGCTACCTCAAAATCTAATCAGACCATTTCAAGGCACATTTACAAAAATAAATATGCTTTCAGTTCCCGTCTTAATGCCTGGTTGGTTGTTTTCTTTAAGATTTCTCTATAAAAGCATCCAACAGCAAATAAGCCTGGCTTTGGGCATTTGACCTCCGCAGTTGGTTTTCTTTCATTTCAGGGAACTTGGGTATATTATTATTTAACTCAATTCTCCGCAGCTGATCATGTCGACCAAGTGAGCTGCATCATTATACCATGTTTTGATGAAAACATTTCCTGAGAATCAGCATGACGGGTTGGACAAAGGAACAAGATTGGGACTGATTCAGAAGCAAGATTCATGTTGGTCAAGAAATGAAGGGAAAATAAATTTGTTTCTCTGCAAGAGGAACAGGATGACAAAACTTTGATGATAAAAGTTTGGCAGTTTGATGAATCATTGAGCTATTGAGCCATTATGAGTGATGAAGCTGACACACAGCAGACGCAGTGAGATATCACTCTGCACTAATGGGTAATGTAAGATGAGATGGAGACCACTGAGGGCACAGCGAGGCAGGGTTTCAACACCTGTGTGTGAGTGTGGGCTTGTTCTACAGCACTTTATTTGTGGGGTCCAAAAACCGGCAGCCCACTATACTTTTGGGGACCAAAATGCTGAACTCCACAAGTTTAAAAGGCTGTTTGAGGGTTAATACTTGTTTTTAGGTTTAGAATTAGGTTTGGATTCGGCAATTGGTTGTGATGGTTAACATTAGGGGCTAGGGAATTCATTATGTCACTGACAGATCCCCACAAAGATAGGCACAAGGCTCATCCCAACATGATCCAGCCTGCACCCGATGCCATAATATCCTCATTTATACCATATGCCTAATCTCTGTTCAGGACAGTGACCCTCGCTGAGAGCAAACCTCTGACTCATAATGTCTTTATGTCTGTGTGTGTGTCTAGGCGACATAGAAGAAAGGTGAGAGAGAGAATCTAATTAGGGCCCATTTCATTATCATCCCCTATGGAGGTCCATCACTCACTGACAAAGCTAGATGCTCACCGCCTGGAGAATACACACATTCCTGCCTACCCAAAAAACACTGACGCTGCTGTGCCAGCTGGTTTTAAATATTGCAACCTGTGTGTGTCTGTGTGTTGTATGTTTCATTGTTAGAACTATGAGAAAAAAATATTAGTTAAAAAGTACAACAATTTTCATCAACAAATAAAAACTAAACAATAAAGTGAAAGACAGCCAAATGGGCAAATTGACAATTTACAGTTTAAATACAAAGTAAAGTCTTGGCATGAATGGATTTGTGATTTCATACTATACAGTGTTTGCTCCTGATTAACAAAACAGTCTCCTCCACCTCCTAAATAAACCTCTTGTTCGGATGTTGGGTTCACTGCTTGACCTGTTGTACGAATAAGCTTCATGCTGTGATGCCAACTTAGCGAATTTTAGAGCACCTCTAGTGACTCTGTGAGGCCGAGTCTGTATAAAAACATGGCGACCAAGATACCTCGCCATTGCATCTCTCTCCTCTGCTCTCTGTCTATGGATGTATAAATTTGACTTTGACAAATCCTACTCATACTGCCTAGTGGAAGAGAGCCACAGCCTTTCCAGTCGACCAATCAGCAGCCAGACAGTGAATAAGACATGAATGTGAATGACCAACAAAAGAAGTGAGCTTACCAGACCTCTGCAGCTCGCTCCTCCTCTCTACCTGATGCTATATTTCCCACTACTAGTATAACACACCACAATCTCTGACCGAACTGTTGGCAGTCAGGATCTATTATGATATTTTTGGTTTTTTAACTGTTCATTGGGAGTCCAACAATGTTACATGAAGGCAATGCTAAAACACCTGAAACCAGAGTAACTGTACACAACAAAGATGGTGTTAGCTGTAACCTCAGAAAGAAGACATACAAATAGAAAATGCAAAAGTGAGACCAAAACAAACAATAAATCAAATGACTAAAACTCATGTACATTTTTGTCTAAAACTAAAACTGCATCAAAATCCAGTGTCAAAATGGATACTGCTGTGTATACACGTGTGCGTGCATGTGTAAACTCACATTTATGATGACCCCCTTGTCCAGGAGACTCTGCTTCTTCGCCGTCATGACAAAGTAGTGTGTGTTGTCTTTGTAGTAAACTATGTTCTCCAAGTCAATTCCTGAAAACACGAGATTTACTTTACAAAGGGTACATATGGTGTTGAAAGAAGGAGCTATTAGAGTGGGAGAAGCAAACAGACAGCACTGCATCGTATACAACTCAAACAAGAGTGGGGGGTTTTAAGGGAGGAGGAAAGGAGGCTTTATGGTATGGGCTGCTGGTGCCACATTTCTTTCCAGCTCACCTGTCTCCTCCCTGAGTTCTAGAAAGAACTTCTGGTTAAAGATGAAGGCCACACCACTGATCTCCTCCACTTTGGCCTCTGCTGTGGTGTTCCTGTTGACAAAGTTAGCTGTGATGGCGATAGCCAACTTCCCTCGAAACTCTTTGCGACCGAAACCTGCCGAGAGGGGAAGCAAAACCTTAGCAATTAACTATGCAGAGGGGAAATCTATGGTTAATGCCACATACAGTACTATGCAGAAGTCTTAGGAAGGTGGGTAAATGCTGTCAAGTAAGAAAGCTTTCTAAAAAAATAGACCTGTTAATAGATTTTACTTATCAATTAACAAAATGCAAAGTGAGTAAACAGTAGAAAATCAAATCAATATTTGCAGGATAGTAAAAGTCACAGTGACTACGATCCCAAACATACAGCAAAACTCACTGAGAACTATATTCAACATGAAGAAGAACAAGGAGTCCTGGAAGTGATGGTGTGGCCCCCACAGAGCCCTGACCTCAACATCATTGAGTCTGTCTGGGATTACATGAAGAGAGAGAAGCAACTGAGGCTGCCTCAATCCACAGAAGGACTGTGGATAGTTCTCCAAGATCTTTGGGTCAACCTACCTGCCAAGCTCCCTCAAAAACTATGTCCAGGTGTACCTAGAAGAATTTATACTGTTTTGAAGGCAAAGGGGATCACGCCAAATATTGATTGGATTTAGATTTTTCTTCTGTTCACTCAGTTTGCATTTTGTTAATTGTTAAATATAATTAACATGTCTATTTTTGACAGCATTCTTACTTTACAGCACGTTTCTACATCTGCCTGAAACCTTTACACAGTACTGCATATATCTCACATATACCACACACACACATCCACATAATATTAACTACACCCAGATAGAAAGCTAGTCGAACAGTTCATAAGAACACACACACACACACACACAATTAAGCTTCCAGTTAAAGTATGTCAACAGGAAATGCTTTACCCAGTGAGTGAAAGCAGCTTTGCGACACCTCACCTCTTTTCCAACAAAAAAAACAAACAAACAGGGCTTGGACTGCAGCATATATGTATCCAACAAATGTGGGTCAGGAACAAACCTTGTCTTAGAGGACAAATCTTTTTACCATAAACCCGCCACAGCTTACCCCACAGCACAACTCCAGTTTGTAAGTTTTGCGTTCTTTCTCACCGTCTAATGTGTTTTTGCGTCCATCGGCTCCAATCACAACATCGAAATCAAAGTCCGAGACAGGATGGCTGGAGGGCCGGACCTCTGCTTGCCAACCACGACCTGAGGAAGAACAAAATAACCAGATGGACCCACTTCAATTTGATTATTTTTATACAATCAGACATGTACTCTAAGAGAGTGTGATTGTAGACCTAAAGGAAAGGCAGCTGACAGGGAGTTCATACATCATGTTGAAGTGCTGATTTGATTAGGTTTGAGGTTTATGTGGTTATTTCTCAACTGTCACACAGCAGCCACAGTATGTTGCTCAGTCCTCCCTGGAGTGTTAAAGTGAGAACTGTGAACGTCCCTGGATCACACCAGATCCAGGGGCGTTCACAGATCTCAGTTTGGCCCTGGTCTCTGCCTCCTCACTCATCCATATTTAAAGTGCCAACTTCACAGTCTCCATACGCCATATTTAGGACACTTGGCATATTTTGGGACCCTTAAAAAAGCCAACTCAAAGTAGAACAAAGTAAAATGAAACTGTCAGACTATCAATAGACCTGCTGCCACTGCAAATGGTCTTCTCTAGGAAACTTTCTGATCACTATAACATATGTATTTTGTGAGCAGGGAGTTTTCCATATATAGCTGAGATATGTAGGAGTGACCCTCTGTGTGGCACCGCCACTTATGACCCTTTAAAGCACAGATAAGAGCACACACACGCAGACCTACTGTCGTCAGTCTGCTCCGCTGGCGGCTCCACAAGTTTGACAAACTCCACTTTGACATGAATCTCCACTCCCAGTATCAGACTCACTTTCAGCAGCATCAGCTGGAGCTGGCGGATACCTGTGGTGGATTCACACAAACACAGACACACACAAACGTGTAGGATAATAATTAAAAAGAATTTTTAAAAAAGCACACAAAAGAAAGGCTAGAGCTTCCCGTACAGGTATAATCACTATATACTGGCCCAGACCAGATAAGCAAACGTTGAAGCTGATGTTGCTCCAAGACCATAAGTATTTAAACTGGATGTATTCTGGTCCTGGGCAGTAAGGAAGTACCAATCCAATACCAATTATTGTATCTGCCCATCTCCTCCCTCCTCTTTCCCCCCCCCCAAAATTTAAAATCTGTGTACCTCACTGCAAAGAACTCACTGAAATTTTTTTTATGTAAGGTAACAAGCGGCTGCTAAGACTGAGTTGGGTCCCCTCCAAAGAAACTGTTTATAAAATCTACTTAAGATCACTATCACTATAAATACCAATCCAGTGTAGAAGTAATCAATGCATCCCTACTGCACTATACACTATAAAATATCATAGATTATTCTGGCAGTATAATGATGAACCATTACACTCTGTGTTTTAAGTAAAGAGTTAATACAGTTTATTTATACTGCAGTATATGTGGTATTTACAGGCGCCTTCTCAGCAGCAGTTATGGGAGGAAGACATGGTTGCACTTATAGATGAAAACAAGTTAGGGTTTTGAGATGTACACTCAGAAGAGCTTATCTTTAAGAGGAGATATTAATACATGACACTGTTACTAAAGCTGGAGAGGAAGACGGGCCAGTGGAAACATCCCAGTGGAGATAAAGACTGAAGAAGCAAACTGCAGCAAAATAGGCTGCTGGAAAATCTCCTCTCACGCATTAGAGTCTACAGGTTATTTTGCATGCTAAAACAGAGAGTGAGAGAGAACTGCAAAATTGTAATATAGGGTGTTCCCAATCTTTTTTGGCAAAAATATCTGCACACACACGAAAATTCAATCACGATTAATCGTAGGATTTTCTTGCAATTAATCACATGCTGCTATATACACAAAAGTGCAATAACATGTAGTTTGCAAACACTTTAAACAAACAAGTGCTTTTTACCAGCAGTATTCCCTTTACACAGTAACAATAAAATATTTCTTGTAAATCTCAACTTAAACATTAATGTAATCAAATCAGATATTAAACCAAAGCTATTTACCACATTTCAAATAGTTATCAGGACATCAACAGGAGGGAATTCATATGGCAGGGCATCCCTGCAAAACTAGATGAAGGCCTATCAGGTAAAGTTATGTAGTCTGTAATTTTAACTCAAGTTAAATAGGCTACAGCAGAAGCCGTTACCATGGTTACCCTCAATCGTGCTCCTGCCGTTTTCTCACGGAGCGCTGTCTTCTTCTCCACACACTGCAGCCAAGTAGTCTGCTGAAGCCTCCCTCCACTGCTTGTTTGGGTGGGTGATTTGCAGGCTGATCCACATCAACATTTATTTATTTATTTATTTATTGTAACATAAGTAACATGATCCTGTCGGCGTGTCAAGTGACTTTAAAAAGGAGTCCTGACTCCAAAGTTGATTTGACATAAACAACAACACTTTCTCTTCCTTCCCAGAGCACTATAAGGAAAAAACTAATTATAGTGTGATAGAAAGAGGAAGGAGTGAAAAGCTTAGCTTCAAGCAACTTCCCCACTTTGCTTTCTCACTTCATGATCAACCTTTTGAAAAGGCGCCAAAGTGAGAGGAGACACAGATCAACACTCACTGATGTGGTCGATGGCGCCGGCACAGAACTTTCCATAGAACTTCTTGGCTCCAAGGCCCCTGAGGTCATGGATGGTGAAGGGCCAGAGGTGGAGAACGTTGTTCCTAGAGAAGGTGTCTCTCTTCTCGATTACCACCACTTTACAGCCCAACAGGGCCAGTTCGATGGCTGTCCGCAGACCACAAGGACCCCCGCCAATCACCAGACACTGAGTAAAAGAGACATGGTGGTAGGGATGCTTAAAGAGGTTTTGAGCATTAGTATTCTAGTCCTCTTTCCATCCCTGCTTTCCTACACAGTAATTCTAACTGGGCTTTGAGTATGTAGTGTGTTCAAGAAAAATGACAAAAAGAAGTACTTCAAAGATGTAAGATTCCCAAATGCAACACACAGAGGAAATGAAGGAGCTACTTTTCAGCTCTAATGCAAAATTATTATTAATAATATTTTTAAAGAGTGGACAGCTAAGAGAAGATCTCAGAAAACAAAGAAGCAAAGTATTAAAACTAAGTTTGTTTCTAACTTGTTGGTAGTTGTTCTCCAAAGATGCAGTTTGATTGATATTAGTCTAGTAATGTTTCCTGTTAATAACAACAGTAAAGAGTATGATTTTAGAGAATGTATACTTTTAGTATTATAATATGGTGTGGAATTGAGTGACCGCTTACAAAGGGTGTACAGTAGCTGTATTTACAGCAACTGGCAATGATGTTTTATCTGGTTTTGGACTGAAACTAAATATAAAGAGAGAAAAGCAGCAGACATCATCATCATGTGGAAAAATGAACAAGAGGGGAAAAAAGCATTATGTGGAAAGTCTCAACGGTCCTGTGTGATTACAGTCAACGTCTCATTTCCAGGTCAGCATGTTTGCATGGTCTGCCATTTCTCAGTTATAGAGAAAAATTAACTGACAAAACAATTATCACAGCCATCTGGGAAGGGTTGATTTAATCACTTTTGGGACTAGGACTTGTGGCATCTTCCATGTAACAGAGTGTTACAGAAGTTTTGATTCTAGATACAGAGTTCCAGAAAACAGAGCGCCCACCCAGCTACAGGGCCACCATCTTTCTCCAAAAAGTGGTTTCTCCCGGAATAATGCCTGGGATAACAATTTAGCTGTTATTTTTGGCCAAGCCTCAGCCCAACCCATCTCTGTTAATCTCCCCTCTGCGGTTCTCTGGCCTCTTTCCCCTCTGGACATCTTATCTTTGCCTTCAGATATGAAGCCATTCCAACACTATGCTAAATGTGCTGCTTATAATACTGAGACATACATGGTCAGACAATTCGACAGACCAGCACATCACATAAAATATGAGATACCCATCTGTCACATGAAATACATATCTGAACTCCCATACTGTCTTTAGGCTTCTGTGTAAGCCATGTACTACAATTTGACTTACATACAGTGTCCCTATAAATGGCTTATATTACTGTTCCAGAAATTTGCTGACTGAATTTCCTCAAGTTATATGCACTAAATCCAGTTAATACAGCCTCACAAAGTTAGGATTACTTACTGGTCTAATTAATTACAGAAACAATCCACTTACATATTATATTTGCAATAGACAATTGCAAACTGGCAAAGGTCCTAATTGGGTATTTGAAAAAAAAAACAAACACTAATTCCATAAGCTTGCATAAGGTTAAAGATGCCTTTTAAATATGGCCTGACCTAACATTATTACGGCACTACTCAACAGAACACAGAAAAGAGGAAGAATGCAAAAACAAACGATGATGTCAAAAGTCAGTCTACATACTGTTGTAAATAAGTGGGTCACCTTAAAAACCTTCATCACAACAAACACCTCTTTCTGATTGAACTTTCATTGGATCTAGCTCTGACAGACGGCTTATGCGCTTTTATTTTGTTGGCTGCACACTAAACGGCAGTGATGAGACACGAGTCAATGGTTAGATTAAGACTTTTGAATAAGCTGTGTGAACTTACTGTTCTCTGCCGACCGAGCTAACTAGCTAACAACTAGCTCAGGGAGCGTTTTCTCCTTTCAATAACTCTTCATTGAATAAAATGAGAACACATAGAGGGGGAGTGGGGGTTTAAAACACAGTACAGAGAAAACAGAAAGAAGCTCGGAAAGTCATTGTGACTGCATGTTAGCAGTTAGCTCCCCAGCTAGTTTACAAACTAGCTCTACAGTATGTGACCATGCCTCTACAACCACATGTTATCTGAAGAATTTCACTGTGCCACTTTCTTGTATGATCACGCCTTTACAGTTTGGATGAAGCAGCACACCTCCTACACTATCAAAACAACGCCTTTCACCATGCTGTGCTGTTGTGTGGAAAACCATTCACGCTGTGCCAGCACAGCTTAAATAGTTGCGGTTACTCATGGCCATAGATTGTTGGCTCAGACGGGCATGAATACCCTAACATTATTAGAATACAGCTCGAGACTGCTAAGAAGTGATACCAAACTAGTTTCACATTGTGTATTAATACACTCAAACTGCAGAACAGGTTCAGTTCAGTTCAGTCTTTATTATCCAACTCAGGGACAATAAAGGTCTCTCTTACCCTGGTGCCCTGACAGGCTTTATTCTGGTTGTAGACCTTGTGCTGCGCCCTTTTGTCCAGTTTGGTCCACAGGGCCTTGACCTTCCAGGTGCTGACTGCAGCCTTCAGTGAGCGGTAGAAGTTGCTGTAGTCCAGAGGATCCAGCTCCAGTTGCCTGCAGAGGATGCTGAAGGCCTGCAGAGTCCCTTTACAGGTAGATGCCTGGACAAAGTTCTCAAAGAGCACGCTGGCCTGCGCAGTACGCTCATCCTCTGTCTCACCCATCTGCTCTTGGAGTAAAAACTGTCCAATCTCCTCCCAACACTCTGTCTTCTTCCTTTCCTGCTTCTTTTTCCCTGTTCTGTCCTTCCACGCTGTCAACTCCTATGATGTGCTGTGTGCCGACATGCTTAGCTAGTTCTGAAAAACAAAGAAAAAAATATTTTTTGGACACATGAGATTGAAAATGAAATCAATCAAAATCCAGATGATCAGTTCTACATCCTGTGAATTGGTGATAACTAATGACTAATTCATGCTCCTGAAAGTTTCATCACTTTCATTATTATTATTATTATTATTATAATAAAACAGCAGTTTTTGCTGTTGTAATAATAATCATAATAATATCATTATTAGTACCATTTGGGAATCGATGGATAAGAAATAATTCAGTAACACTTTCTACGAAGATCATCGCTATAATGACTTATGCATATATTTATAACATGATATAACGCGTCCATAAGACATTATATATCCAGAATTTACACAGAAAAAAAAAAATGCATCAAGATGGATCACTGCCCTCTTAATTGTAATGAAACGAATCGTGAGGTGCCAAGAGATTCTCATTCCTACTGCCCAAACAGTATTTCCATTTAATAACTTTAAAATGTCTTTTAATAGGCTACGTTTTGTAAAATGGTTGTCTTTAATTGTCCACTGCATCCGCCATTCATCTGTGACAACATCTAAGCCTCTTCTTACATGATGTTGGTCGGCAACAGGGCTTCTCTTGAGCGATCTCTCACCACCCTGACAATGAGTGTCCTTGATGTAATTATGTTTGTGTTTTTGTGCCAAACTGCAAAATGTTCAAAATTCATACAGATTGTTCATAAAGTGAAGAAACATAAATAAAAGTTGTTTTCTTGTGCAAAATGTGTGTCACTTTACTTAAAGCAAACAATGACGTGTTATGTGGTGGTCCGAGACTTTCGCCGCAAATGTTTACTTCCGTGTTTGTGCCGGCTCTTTCCAAATGGACCGGCAAAAGACCATGTGACCGCTGGTCGTGCCTGCAACCAATCCCGTTGCAAAGCAGGGACACTGCCTCCGTGACGTTCTCCAAAATGCATTTCGGCCTGTTGAATGCTCGTTCTATTGCGAATAAATCGCATTCATTAAACGATCTTTTCACAAGGGAAGGCCTGGATATTATGTGTTTGTCAGAGACATGGCAGAGAGAGGACGAGCTTATTCATTTAAATGAGCTCTGCCCAGTGGGTTGCTCTGCTATTGGGAGGCCCCGCCCCTCTCGTCGCGGTGGTGGACTGGCTATTGTGCACAAGGATTTCCACAAATGTAATGAAATTTTGCCCCAAAAATTTTCTTCTTTTGAATTGCAGATGGTAAAGGTGGGTTTTTTATCCCCCTTCTACTGTATTCTGGTCTATCGACCTCCAGGCCCTGCTGCTGTCTTTCTAAAGGATTTTAGTGAATTCTTATCCTCTATAATTAAGCTGGAATCTGTCTTAATCCTTGGGGATTTTAATCTTCATGTAGATGACAACTCATCTTGCCCCGCAATGGAATTTTTAACATTGACTGAAACTTTTAATTTTAATCAGCATGTATCTGAGCCCACTCACCAAAAAGGCCATATTTTAGACTTGGTTTTTACACTTGGCCTAGATATATTAAACGTATCTGTAAATGATGTCTATATGAGCGACCATAATATTGTTCTGTTTGATCTTCACTTCAGTTCTGACCCAAAGCTTCCAGTAGTTAGGTCTCAGAGACGTGTTATCACGGCAAATACTGCAGATACTTTCTCTGATTTGTTTGATCCTGCTCTAGTTATGGATTGCCCTGATGTGGATGATTTTGTTCACTGTTTAAACAATCACTGTGAAAAGATTCTGGATCAGGTGGCCCCTGTTAATTCAAACTTGCCTACTCGGGAAAAAATGTGGCCTTGGATTAATGAAGAGATTTTAAAACTTAAGAGAATGTGTCGAAAGACTGAACGCCTGTGGAAATCCACTAGCCTTGAGGTACACAGGCTTTATCTCAGAGAACTTGTGTTGTCCTATAATGTGACGGTTGGAAAAGCCAGATCTGACTATTTCCGTCAACTAATAACATTAAATAAAAAAAATCCTAAAGTGCTGTTTGATACGATCAATACACTTGTTTGCCCTGCTGCCCCAGTTATCCCTGTTTTTTGTGAAGCTGACAGCAATGCTTTTTTGGGTTTTTTCACTAATAAAATTAAAATGATTAAAGATAAAATCCCGTTACATTCGTGTGGTACCACTGCTGTCTTTAAGCCAGTCTCCAGCATGTGGTCCACTTTTAGGACTGTGACGATTTCAGATATTTCTGAATTGGTGACCAGGATGAAGCCATCTTCCTGTTCATCGGATGTCATTCCATTCAGATTATTCAAAAAAGTGTTTGAAGATATTGGCGCTTGTGTAACCAAAATGGTTAACCTCTCGCTGTCTACTGGCGTTTTTCCAGATGCTTTTAAGCATGCTATAGTGGAACCGTTAATAAAAAAGGCAGGTTTGGACCCGTCGGATTTGAATAGTTTTCGGCCTATTTCTAAGCTCCCGTTTTTATCCAAGATCATTGAGAAGGTAGTCTGCGAACAGTTGACATTTTACCTGGATAATAGTAACATCCATGAGCCATTCCAGTCAGGTTTTCGTAAACAACACTCTACCGAAACGGCCTTACTGAAAGTGTCAAATGACATTATGATGTCTGCTGATTCTGGAAAACACACTGTTCTAGTTCTCTTGGATCTGTCTTCCGCCTTTGACACCGTCGACCATCAGGTTTTGCTGGAAAGATTAAGGGATCAAGTAGGGCTGTCAGGGTCAGTTCTGCAGTGGTTCACCTCATATTTATCTGGGCGTAGTTTTAGTGTTACAGCAAACCAAATAAGGTCTGAGTCTGCAGACTTGCTTTGTGGAGTGTCTCAAGGCTCTGTTCTGGGCCCCGTTTTATTTTTGTTGTATTTGATCCCTTTGGGAAAGATCATACAAAGGTTCAATGATGTTTCTTTTCATCTATTTGCTGATGATATCCAACTTTACTGCTGCTTCAAGCCGTCAGAGATCTGGAAGTTAAACTCCTTGCTCCATTGTCTTGTGGAAAAAATGGCTAAGTGAAAACTCCCTGCAGCTAAATGCAGACAAAACAGAAACATTAATCATTGCCCCTGAGGATGCAATTCCAGGAATTAAACAATACTTGGGTGATTTAGGCCAGTCTGCTAAGCAAAGTCTTAGAAATTTGGGAGTTGTCCTGGACAAAGACATGTCGTTAGTGCAGCACTGCAAGCAGCTGACGAGAAACTGCTTCTTTCAATTAAGGAAAATCTCAAAACTTAGAAATATAGTTTCAAGAAATGATTTGGAGCTAATCATTCACGCCTTTGTGTCGTCGCGGTTAGACTATTGTAATAGTTTATTTTTATGCCTAAACCAGAAGGAGCTCTCTCGACTGCAATTAGTACAAAACTCTGCAGCCAGAATTTTAACACGTACTAATAGGAGGTCTCACATATCACCAATCCTAAAAGAACTTCATTGGCTACCAGTGTCTTATAGGATAAATTTTAAAATTTTGGTTTTAGTTTTCAGAGCTTTACATGGCCAGGCTCCACCCTATATTAGTGACCTGATTCAGCGTTATACCCCTGTGCGTGCTCTGAGGTCTGTGGATCAGAACCTGCTGACGGTTCCACGCACTCGCTACCGTACTAGAGGTGACCGATCTTTTCAGGCTGTTGCCCCTAGGTTGTGGAATGACCTTCCACCATCTATGCGCTCTTCTGATTCTGTTGATGCCTTCAAATGCAGACTAAAGACACATTTATTTGTTCAGGCTTTCAATTAGCTACTTGTGGGTTGATATGATCATGTACTGTCTATGCTTTTATTGTGTGTATTTTATGATATTAATGTTTTTGTTGTGAAGCACTTTGTGGCCCTATACCTGTGAAAGGTGCTATAGAAATAAACTTTTACTTACTTTTACTTACTTACTTATAAGGTCTTATAATTAGTTCATATGGTATTATGTCCACCTGTAATATATTATACAGGGAGATATTTTAACACACAACAGCAAACAAAGACATGCTATATAACTTTAAACATTACTATAAGCTATTATTTCATTATATCACCAATTGTAAATGGTGACTAAAGTGTATTCATAACGAGGCAGAGTTGGTGGTTATAATGTGTTATGGAACATGGTCGGAGATTCTTGCAGCACATTGACATAAACTGGTATTACTATTAGTTATAAAACATTAAATCAAAAGGTCATAATACATTATGAACTTTGCTATAGCGCCTAATGCATGTTTTTAAGTGATTATAACAACTGTTAGAATGTCTTATGGATGCATTATATCGTGTTATAAATATTTGCATAAGTCATTATAGTGATGACCTTCAGAGAAAGTGTTACCAATAATTCTAAAAGAAAAAAAACACATTTAATACATACATAAATATTTTTGAAATATAATAATAATAATAATAATAATAATCCTTATTTGTAGAGCACTTTTCAAAAACATACATACAAAGTGCTTTAACAAGTGTAAAGAATAATACAAAAAAACAAGATAAGAGCTTTAAAAAATTAGACTAAAGACTAAAATACATATTAATATAAAATTAGTAAAATACAATAAAATAAAATGGATAAAATAAAGTCAAATAAGATCAGGAAAGGCTCTCCTATAGAAGTATGTTTTAAGAAGGGACTTAAAAGAGTTCACTGACTCAGCCGACCTGATTTCCTCGGGCAGGCTGTTCCAGAGCCTCGGGGCCCTGACAGCAAACGCTCTGTCCCCTTTAGTTTTCAGTCGAGACTCTGGAACAGACAACAGACCTCTGCCCGAGGATCTCAAGGTACGTGCTGGTGCGTATGGGACTAAAAGGTCAGAAATATAACAAGGCGAGAGGCCATGAAGAGCTTTAAAAGTGATCAATGTGGTGGTCAATTCTAAAACATACTGGGAGCCAGTG